GCTGTTTATAAAACCTCTCGAAAAAATTAGCAAAAAAAATCCGTCAGCAAACCGTCCAACCTGACGGTGGTACCAATTAGCTGGAACTTTAAAATACCAAATTTCGGAGTAGTTTTTAAAATGTTGTGTTAACAAATTATTTATTCAAAGGTACTTAGTATTGTAATAAAACTTATTTCTGCTAAAAATTTCATGTAAAAAGAAGATTTATTGAGAAAAGGGTGGACTGTCGTAAAAAGTGTCCTAATTTTTGCCGGATAAGAAGCTGGTTGTGAAGAAGAAGAAGACATGTAGGTAAAAGTAAACATTTTTTGTTTAAAGCCTAGTACTCAGTACGACGAAAACTGCTAGCTAAGCATAGGAGTAAGCGAGAGGCAAATAGGTAGCTAAAGCCTTTAGCTGGGACTTTTTTCCACCGCGGTACTCAGTTGAGCTAAGGAAATAGTGAGAAAATACCACAAAAATACTAGATTTAGCGGATGAACTCCGATGAACGCCTTTAGCCGCCAACCAAAGAATAAAAAATTTGATCTTTGCCTGTGTATGTGCAGAAGCGGTGTGCCAATAACATATAAATGGAAGGAAAACCACAAAAACCAATGGAAAACTGCCTGTAGGAGTTGCTGCAATACATATTGCCATTCCAATAGCGAATTTAAAGCTTGCGACCCAGGTCGGCTCAACGTTTTGTAATATTTTAAAGTTGGCGCCACTCGGTCACACTAAAAGATTAATATTTTTCGACTAGTAAAACTCTTAGCCGAACTGAGTACTAGGCTTTTAGCCCAACTGAGTACTAGGCTTTATTATTAATTAAACTAATAAACATTGCTAATTTTCAAGAGTAAACGTAGGTCAGCAGCACAAGATATTCTTGCGACTCATTCGCGAAATTGGAAGGACCTGGCCATGTAAAACCGCTTCTAAGGATTCTCCTCTGCATCGTAGCCTCTCGCTTCTAAAATTCTTGCCAACATTTTCATTTTTTTTATACCCGTTACTCGTAAAGTAAAAGGGTATATTGTATTCGTGCAAAAGTATGTAACAGAGAGAAGGACCGACCCTATAAAGTATATATATTCTTGATCATGTCCGTCTGTCTGTGTCTGTCTCTCTGTCCGTATGAACGCTAAGATCTCGGAAACTACAAAAGCTAGAAAGTTGGGATTACCCACACATATTCTTGGGCTGGCTACGCAGCGCAAGTTTATTTCTGCCGAGCGACACGCCCCTTCTAACGCCCACAAGTTAAGTTTAAAACCTATTGTCAAATAAAATTCGTATTTGCCATTCTCCTTCGCGTGGGCCAACAGCGACGACCTGGAGCTGTTGGGGGAAGTTTGGGCAGTATAGTGGAAATTTATAAAACGTACAATCTTAAGACTGCGCCTAACCTACGACAGCTGAACAACAAGCTGAGCTGCAGCTCCAAAATAACATGGTTGTGGCAATTTTCTGTTTCCTGTTTAATAAAATGTAAATGAACTATACTGTAGTATACATATTTAAAAGAAAAGGACCTTCAAAAATATAATTTAATTTGACGATTCAAAATAATTTGACGTTACAAAAAATATCTTTATCATTTAAAATTCAAAATGGGAAGCTGCCAACTGTTATAAATAAAATTAAAATATTAAGGTTCAGCCAAAAATCATTTTATTAGCAATTTGATCAATTTTTGGGAACTTTTAAAAACTTAAATTGTTTCAGCGATATATCGAGGTTTTCAACCATCGATTATGAAAATATCTATGTACCCACTGTTAGAGATGTGCATTCTAGTGATTTCTTAATTTTTATCGCCGTTTTGACGGCGTTGCCCATAAATCGCGCATACGCGTAGTGTTACCAATTGGTTGGTTTCTTAGCTAGATTCCATCGAATAGAGGGCGCTTGTTTTTTTTATTGGGACTGAGAGAGCCGTTTTCGTGAGGGTGTGTGTCAATGATTTGTCATCGGATAGAGGGCGCTGTTTTTGCCACAAAAATATCGCGATAGGGGCAATTCTCTGCGGATGTCAACCAAGCCAAAAAGCTTGAAACTTAGTATGAACGCTGAAATCTCGGAAACTACAAAAGCTAGAAGGTTGAGATTTTCCGCAAGTTTATTTCAGCCGAGCGCCACGCCCCCTCTAACGCCCACAATCGCCCACTAACGGTTTTAAAATGTGTCTGGCGCCCACACCTTTACAGATTTCTGAGAAGTATAAATGCAATTTTGTTGTGTATATTTATGCCTTTCGAAATGTAGAAGACATTTTTCATATCGGACCATTCATTAAAAAGTTATACGCAATCAAAACAATTTTATATACATATCTATCTCTCTCGCAATCGCTTAGGCCGAGTGACGGGCGTTCTCTCTTCTTCTTCGTCCCTTCTTATAGGTGCCATACAAATCGATGGATTTTCTTATTGTTAAGAAGGTAGGCTTTGAAAAAATGTTTTGTTTCAGATTGTAATTTTAATTTTTCAAAGCCTACTTTCCATCGAGTTGTATGGCAGCTATATGAAGAGACGGTGGTAAAATTATGATATTAAACAAGAAAGGAAGCTAGCTTCGGTCAGCCGAAGCTTATATAACCTTGCAGATCATTCCTATTAATTAACAAATCGCAAAAATGTTAAATTTTCTAATATTTCTCATTAATTTTCCGATCGTTCCTATGGCAGCTATATGATATAGTCGTCCGATTTTGATCAAGTTAAAATTGAAATTCGGAAATATTTAAAAAGAGTCAAATCCTAGAGTAGAAGATAATACAATCAAATAAAAACACCTCTAAACGAGGTAAAAAACTAGTGACGAACGCACCATCAACATACAAAAGTTCTGATATCAACATTTGTGACGAAAAATTATTACACTCGTTATAAATAGACTTTCTAATATTTTCTCATTCGGCACGCTGCAATAGAAAATGCCTGTGAAGGGAAAAAGGCTGGAATAGTTTGCTAGGGCGGGCCGAATGTGAAAATATTAGAAAGTCTATTTAATGACGAGTGTAATAATTTTTCGTCACAAATGTTGATATCAGAACTTTTGTATGTTGATGGTGCGTTCGTCACTAGTTTTTTACCTCGTTTAGAGGTGTTTATACCCTTGCAGAGGGTATTATGATTTCAGTCAGGAGTTTGCAACGCAGTGAAGGAGACGTTTCCGACCCCATAAAGTATATATATTCTTGATCAGCATTACAAGACGAGTCGATCTAGCCATGTCCGTCTGTCCGTCTGTCCGTCCGTCTGTCCGTCTGTCTGTTTCTACGCAAACTAGTCTCTCAGTTTTTGAGTTATCGGGACGAAACTTTCGCAAAAGTCTTCTTTCTATTGCAGGTAGTATATATGTCGGAGCCGACCGGATCGGACAACTATATCTTATAGCTCCCATAGGAAGGATCGGAAAAAAAAACTTTACAAAATTCTAGCTTCGGTGTTTTTTGAAATATTACCTTCTACTTTTGGGGATGTTATTTTTTAAATATTTCTGAATTTCGAATTAATTATTTAAAAAATCGGACTACTATATCATATAGCTGCCATAGGAACGATCGGAAAATTAATGGAAAAGTAATAGGAAATAAATTCTAGCTTCTTTGGTTTTTATTGTATTATCTTCTACTCTAGGATATGACTCTTTTTAAATATTTCCGAATTTCAATTTTAATTTGATCAAAATCGGACGACTATCTCATATAGCTGCCATAGGAACGATCGGAAAATTAATGAGAAATATTAGAAAATGGAACATTTTTGCGATTTGTTAATTAATAGGAATGATCTGCAAGGGTATATAAGCTTCCTTTCTTGTTTTAGTTTGTTTTATCTCATACTTTATCGTGAGTGAAAATGGATTGAGTGAGAAATTTTACTTTTAGTACGTTGGAAAGTTCAATCTTTAAAGAAAAAAAACGCAAAAAACTGCACCTTCCAACTGTACTAGGAAAGAAATTACAGATTTTTGGCCAAAAAATTAACTTTCTGGCCCAGTGTGCACTGGGTAGAAACCAAAAGCGAAGAAACCCTAAGAAAAAGGGTTTTGCTCTGAGCGTAACAGCTGTTAATCAAAAAACCTTTTGAATGTGTTAGCTCCCTCCTAGTTCTCAAAGTGTTTGTAAATGACAGGTTTTTCCCGAACACTTTGAAAAGGTTGACCGATACTTGAAAGCTATGCATTTTAACGAGTTCCTGTAAAATTATTATTTTTTAAATGAATTCCTATAAAGACCTATAGATCTCTGCTGAACTATTCCCTCCTAGTAAAGAAAAAAGGAAAAGACAAAAAGGCGCCAAGGGCCAATAAATAACACAATAAAACTGCAATTTTACTTTTCCGAAATATTTAAATGGCCCGCGGCTGCAACAAACACGCTTATTCCTACAAAATGGTTCGCGCGGTTTTTCAAATATTTATCGAACCATATGCAATTTTATTTTTGTACAAAAATATCGATAATTACAGTTACGTCATAAAATGACCCTTACGTTTGAATTCCAAAATAGAGGGCGCTAATTATAATCGCAAAAACATTTGTCACGATTTAAATATTTATTTTAATTCAAAAGATATTTGGTATTTTTGATTTTGGTATGTTTCCCCATCCCTAGCTCTTCTACGTCGTGCAGCATAAATGACCCTTACGTTAAACGACCCTTACGTTCGACGGCGTTGCCCATATACGCCTAGTGCGTCCAATTGGCTTGTGACTCGGTTAAATTCCAAAATAGAGGGCGCTAATTATAATATATAATATTTGGTATTTTTGGTTTTGGTATGTTTCCCCATCCCTAGCTCTTCTACGTCATGCAGCATAACTGACAGTTACGTAGTGCAGCATAAATGACCCTTACGTTAAACGACCCTTACGTTCGACGGCGTTGCCCATAAACGCCCAGCGCGTCCAATTGGTTTGTGACTCGGTTAGATTCCAACAGCGATAGAGGGCGCCGCTCTTACAAAAATATCCAGTATTTTTATTAGAATACTTTTGCCGTTCGCAACTCAGCCCCCGGGCACACCTGGACACCTTAGCATTCATACTCCCACACTCTTCACAGTCGAGAAAAATGTTCGCGTTACGTGCAGCCTCCAAAGCCGATAAGAATTTGCTCCCCTTCCTGGGGCAATTGTGTAAGTAGAAAACTAAATTCTCGGTCGAAACTGTGGGAACGTGGACTAGGAGGGCGCTGCGCTCGGCACTTTCGGGGACCGAATTAGTGGCAGGGGCCGAACATAACCTAAACAGGCGAAAATGTTACGAGTGAAGGAAAATTATTACATAACGCTGATTTGGAATGATTTAAGGTTACTTGGTGTTATAATGCACTTTGGGCGCGGACATTTGGGCAAATCTGTATTCATCTAGTCTAGTCTCAAATTTAAAGCGACTCGGGCTTTCTGTTACGTATACGAGGATTTTTCGCCCTGGAAAAGATGTCGGCATTGTTCTGAGGGGTCACTTTTAATCAATACATTTTTAACTGATTTTTTGTACAGACTAGACCGATTTAAATAGTAATCTGATTTTAACCGTATAAAAGGATTATTAGTCGGCGTGTCGGAAACCAGAATGCCTGTAGGATTTTCTGTATACCACTCTTAACGTTGGGCAAAGCTTAAGGGAGTTGGCAGGGAAATAACATTTTTCGGGCTGGAACAAAAAGAATATGTAACATGAATGCACTATTTCGACCTTCTTTCAGCTCGTGGCCATGCTGCCAAGGCTGCAAAGGCTGCGGCTGCCGCCAACGGAAAGATTGTCGCCGTAATTGGTGCCGTCGTCGACGTGCAGTTCGATGATAACCTGCCGCCAATCCTGAACGCCCTGGAAGTCGACAACCGCTCTCCTCGGCTTGTGCTCGAGGTGGCCCAGCACTTGGGAGAGAACACCGTGCGCACCATTGCCATGGACGGTACTGAGGGCTTGGTTCGCGGACAGAAGGTTCTCGATACTGGGTATCCCATCCGTATTCCAGTCGGAGCTGAGACCCTGGGTCGCATTATCAACGTGATTGGTACGTAATCGATCTGTGACAACAGTTTGAGCCTAACCACTTCTTACATCAGGCGAACCCATCGACGAGCGTGGACCGATTGACACCGACAAGACGGCTGCCATTCACGCTGAGGCTCCTGAATTCGTTCAGATGTCCGTCGAGCAGGAGATTCTTGTCACTGGAATCAAGGTCGTCGATCTTCTGGCTCCCTATGCCAAAGGAGGTAAAATTGGCCTGTTTGGCGGTGCCGGCGTGGGTAAAACTGTGTTGATCATGGAGCTGATTAACAACGTGGCTAAGGCTCACGGTGGATACTCCGTTTTTGCGGGAGTCGGCGAGCGCACCCGTGAGGGAAACGATTTGTACAATGAGATGATCGAGGGTGGTGTTATTTCACTCAAGGACAAGACCTCCAAGGTAGCTTTGGTGTACGGCCAGATGAACGAGCCCCCAGGTGCCCGTGCCCGTGTCGCCCTGACTGGTCTGACCGTTGCCGAGTACTTCCGTGATCAAGAAGGACAGGATGTGCTGCTGTTCATCGACAACATTTTCCGGTTCACTCAAGCTGGCTCCGAGGTGTCCGCGCTGTTGGGTCGTATTCCCTCCGCCGTCGGTTACCAACCAACTTTGGCTACTGACATGGGTTCTATGCAGGAACGTATTACCACCACCAAGAAGGGATCTATTACTTCTGTCCAGGCTATCTATGTGCCCGCTGATGATTTGACCGATCCTGCTCCAGCCACTACTTTCGCTCACTTGGACGCCACCACTGTCTTGTCGCGTGCGATTGCCGAGCTGGGTATTTACCCTGCCGTGGACCCCCTGGATTCCACTTCTCGAATTATGGACCCCAACATCATTGGACAAGAGCACTACAACGTTGCTCGTGGCGTGCAGAAAATCCTACAGGATTACAAATCCCTTCAGGATATCATTGCCATTCTGGGTATGGATGAGTTGTCTGAGGAAGATAAGCTCACAGTCGCACGCGCTCGCAAGATTCAGCGTTTCTTGTCGCAGCCATTCCAAGTTGCTGAAGTCTTCACTGGGCATGCTGGTAAACTCGTGCCGCTGGAACAAACCATTAAGGGCTTCTCAGCGATTCTGGCTGGAGAGTACGACCATCTGCCTGAAGTTGCTTTCTACATGGTCGGCCCAATCGAAGAGGTTGTCGAGAAGGCTGATCGTCTGGCAAAGGAAGCTGCTTAAATAACTTTGCTGACAAAATCTTCAAAGTCGTATTACCAGCAAATAATTGAATTATGCATTGAATTGTAATAAGCTTTGTAACATCAAATTGGAATTCAATACACGTGAAGAACTCAATAAAAATATTTAAACATTACGCTAAATGGTGTTAATTAACCACTAAATAGCAAAATACTTTTTATAGCATATAATACAAACTGCAAGAATTCGATCGTTAAACATTTTACTGAAAGTGAAAATACCTAATATTTCGGATCGTCAGAATTTTCGAATTCTAAAGCGATTTTAATTTGAAACGGATCTCATTAGCTTTGCAAATCTTTGCAACGTAATCTTCATTATGGTTAAGTTCCATTTTTAAAACTCTAAAGTGAATAGAGTTCAATAAATACAAGTTTAGAAAAACAAGGACTAAAAAAAATGTAAAACATGGAAAATGTATATGTTTTGTAAAACTTTCCCAAAATTCTTCTTTCTATTGCAGGTAGTATATATGTCGGAATCGACCGGATCGGACAACTATATCTTATAGCTCCCATAGGAAGGATCGGAAAAGAAAACGTAAAAAAATTCTAGCTTCGGTGTTTTTTGACTTTTTTTTTACATTACATTAATTTTTCTATCCTTCCCTATGGCAGCTATATAATATAGTCATCCGATTTTTGTTAAATTCCGAAATATTTAATAAAAATCATATCCTAGAGTAGAAGAGAATACAATAAAAACCAACGGACCTATAATTTGTTTCCAATTAATTTCCCATTAATTTTCCGATCGTTTCTATGGCAGCTATATGATTTAGTCGTCCGATTTTGATCAAATTAAAATTAAAATTCGGAAATATTTTAAAAGAGTCATGTCCTAGAGTAGAAGAAAATACAATAAAAAAAGAAGCTAAAAATGTTCCTATGGCAGCCATATGATATAGTCGTCCGATTTTTTAAATATTTAACTCGAAATTTCGAAATATTTAAAAAATAATGTGCCCAAGAGTAAAAGGTAATATTTCAAAAAACACGGAAGCTAGAATTTTTTTAACGTTTTTTTTCCGATTCTTTCTATGCGAGCTATAAGATACAGTTGTCTGATCCGGTCGGTTCCGACTTATATACTACCTGCAATAGAAAGAAGACTTTTGGGAAAGTTTCAAGCCGATAGCTTCAAAACTGAGAGACTAGTTTGCGTAGAAACGGACAGACAGACGGACATGGCTAGATCGACTCGTCTAGTGATGCTGATCAAGAATATATATACTTTATGGGGTCGGAAACGTCTCCTTCACAGCGTTGCAAACTTCTGTCAGAAATCATAATACCCTTTGCAAGGGTATAATAAGAAAAACTCCCAAGGTTTTTCTTTATGCTGAAAAATATGGTCTAGGATTGAAAACGTTCGGTAAGCCGTTTAGGAAAGGCAATGAACATGGAGTTTCAAAACGTGTTTTCGAGATAAATCCAATTGACCTGCTAACATTTTATTCTTGACATATTAAAAGGTAAAGAAAGAAATATATAATTTTTAAAGTTCAAAGACCTAATTAGAAAATGGCATACATATACACATATTCTTGGGCTTCCTACGCAGCGCAAGTTTATTTCAGCCAGGCGCCACGCCCCCTCTAACGCCCACAATGGCCCACACCCTTAAAGATTTCCGATAAGTATAAATGCATTTTTGTTGTGTATATTTATACCTTTTAAAATGTAGAAGATATTTTTCAAATCGGACCATTCATTAAAAAGTTATGCTAACAGACAGACAGTAGAGACCTGCACGATACGATGCCGATTCCACGAGTAAAAGTAATCAAGTTGGCGATGCCACGATTTTTTTTTGTAATCATCTAATCGTGTCAAACGTGAAATCGTACATTTTAATTTCCTCTTCTTCTAAAGAATTTGCGGGTACATTTTTTTTTAGAATTCGTGAATAGTTAAAGACATCAAATCCATATGTGTTATGGTTTTTAATGGTTCTTCTTCTTCCAAAGAATTCGCGGTCTCATTTTTATCAAGATTCGTGTATGTCGGCTTCCAAGACGGTAAAACAAAAAAAAATCCTCTTGTTCTAAAGAATTTGCGGTCTCATATTGTTAAAGAGTTAATCTATGTTGTTAGGGGGATAGGACTAACAACTGTGATATCTTGGTCTACATTGGTTCCTCTTGCTCTGACAAGAATTTTGGCTGATTTTTATACCCTTGCAGAGGGTATTATAATTTCAGTCAGATGTTTGCAACGCAGTGAAGGAGACGTTTCCGACCACATAAAGTATATATATTCTTGATCAGCATCACAAGACGAGTCGATCTAGCCATGTCCTGTAGTATATATGTCGGAGCCGACCGGATCGGACAACTATATCTTATAGCTCCCATAGGAACAATCGGAAAAAAAAACTTTAAAAAATTCTAGCTTCGGTGTTTTTTGAAATATTACCTTCTACTTTTGGGGATGTTATTTTTTAAATATTTCTGAATTTCGAATTAATTATTTAAAAAATCAGACTACTATATCATATAGCTGCTATAGGAACGATCGGAAAATTAATGGAAAAGTAATAGGAAATAAATTCAAGCTTCTTTGGTTTTTATTGTATTATCTTCTACTCTAGGATATGACTCGTTTTAAATTTTTCCGAATTTCAATTTTAATTTGCCATAGGAACGATCGGAAAATTAATGAGAAATATTAGAAAATTGAACATTTTTGCGATTTGTTAATTAATAGGAATGATCTGCAAGGGTATATAAGCTTCGGCTGGCCAAAGCTAGCTTCCTTTTTTGTTTAACGTTTTTTTTTCCGATCGTTCCTATGGGAGCTATAAGATATAGTTGTCCGATCCGGTCGGTTCCGACATATATACTACCTGCAATAGCAAGAAGATTTTTGGGAAAGTTTCATCCCGATAGCTCAAAAACTGAGAGACTAGTTTGCGTAGAAACAGACAGACGGACAGACGGACATGGCTAGATCGACTCGTCTTGTGATGCTGATGAAGAATATATATTCTTTATGGGGTCGGAAACGTCTCCTTCACTGCGTTGCAAACTTCTGACTGAAATCATAATACCCTCTGCAAGGGTATAACAACATTTTAGGTAGGCAAACCTGCAAGGGTATATAAACTTCGGCTGGCCGAAGTAAACTTCCTTTCTTGTCTTTAACAAAAAACACAAGTCAGATATGAGTAAAACGATGCCGATGCCTACGATGCCAGATTTGACAGTTGGAATCGGCATCGCCGAGTAGTAATCGAATATATTTTTACTTACTCGTGCAGGTCAGACCGACAGACAGAATGTACTACCCAACAATTAGTTCGCAAGTAATTTAACTTCAAAAAGTTAAGAATCCTTTCAAAAGGAAGCATTGCATATTGCAAATTAAATAAGATTAAGGGTATTTATACCTTTTTTGTTGAAGGGGGTCCATGGCCGGACACCTAACGTCCTTAATTTTTGATCTAGAACAAAAAATCAAGTTTGGTTAGTTTCTATATATCAACAGCTATCGACAGACGTGGGATTTTTTCGATATATATTTTTTTGCAAAATGGTGAGCGATTGAAAAAAAAGTACCATTTTTCGAATAAAAAATGTCACAAAATTGTTGATAAAAAAAAGTAAGCAATATAAAAAAAATCCTACGTCTATACTGTCAACATTTGAGATCGATAGGTTAAGATTTGTTCGAGTTATGTGTCCGGCCGTCTCAAAAAGTGGTTTCGGGAAAAACGCGTTTAAAGTTTTAAGGTGCCCGGAATATACATGTGAGACATCGCCGCAGAATGGAACATTTTGGCACTTAGACACTTATGCCGGACTGCTTAATCGATTGTAAAGGTTTCCTTATTAATCCAGAGGCGCACAAGGTCAATTTGAATGTTTATTATCATTTTTATTAAGTATTTATTTGTATTTAATAAATTATATATATGGAATAATTTATTTAATATTTGGAATTATTAAATTGTATTATGGACTTTGCATTATGGGCTAAAAACTGCATTGTTTTAAATTTCCTTAAATTATAAGGGACATCCACTGATGAAAATAATTTGTGTAGGCAATTAGCATTCCTTGTTTCTTTTATTTTATTATTTGGATTTGAAAAACATAATTCAGTTAATGAAGTATTATTCTAAGAACGTTTACCTTAGGAGCAACAGCTCTTCGATCAATTTAATATGTCCGAATGGTTTAATATAGTTTTTTTCGTATTATAAGTATTAAATATTATTTCAGAAGACATTTAGGTCCTATAAATGAATTTTAGCAACAGCATTTACATTTGATAACCATGTGAATAAGTCCCATTCCTAGATTGACTTACAGTATTAGACAATTAAAATAATCATAAATACATTCCAAGCACTGTAAAGGCATTGCCCTATAAATATTTAAAGCTAGAGGAGTGGGTTGTATTAAAAGTACAACTTGGAGACGGACCATAAATCAAATATTTTTTCAAACAGTTATCAGAGAATCGTTTTTGACTTTTGAGTAAAAAATAAATGTGCAGTAAATTTTTGAAATGCTTTTAAATTCAATTTTTTGTATGCACACATAATCAGGAAAAAGTTGTAATCATTTTACGATGATACAGTCTCATACATACAATATATGTTCGCATTTATGCTCATAACAAAGTATATGGAGTTATACACAAAAAGATCCATTAAGTAAAGGAGCTTAACCTATTACACATTTTATTTATATAGAAATTTGAAAATTAGGAGAATTGTTATATAACATTATTTGTGACTTTCATTAAGAGTTGATTAATATTAACTTTCTTTACTATTATTGCATCGCAAAGGGTTTAATATTTAAGTATGCTCATGAAGTTTCAATAAATTATAAAGAAAACAGAATAATTTTTATTTAATTGTAATGTTGCGTTTTTTTTCATTTCATACATGTCGGTATCTAAAAAGATCGGTCCCAAGGATTCTATTGACTGTGCCACCATTTTAAATAACGTTTAAAATTCATCGTAAAACATTTTAATGTATCTTTATGACAAGTATGCATGTATTTTTAATTATGTAAGTTATTCCTTAGCAAACAATAATATAAACAATAACATATATACCACATGCGGAACAAGTCACGCGCGAGAGGAAACGCAAAAATATTTTAAAAAATAACAAGTAATTATTTTTTCGGCCGTAAGAGATATTGAAATATGCACATCCATATATGTGACGCGTCGAATTACCGGGATTTGTGGATCCAGATGTCAGTATACATGTAAGAATGTAACCCGCACCGTCAAAATGGTATTTTTAGGACATCTCTATATACTGATATAGCACATGCGGACAGAACGGCGAAGTAAATATAGAATTAGTCATCTAGTGAATTTTAAGTAATTTCATACTTTTAAATAAATCGGCTTAATTTTATATTTCAGTTAGCTAATTTCATTTGGTTTTTGTGTACTTATTTTTTCAAAATTTTAAATGCTACATTGTAGTTACCTAATGCTTTACAGTTTCATAAATCGTTAATGCTAACTTGAGTAATTTGTATTCGCCTGTATTCACAGATTTTAGTAAGCTATGTATGTGTGTATGTATTTTAAGAACAAGAATAAGCGGACTGCACAAACAAATGATTATTCGTATCCTAGTAGGTGATACATGCCTTTTAAATTGTTTGCAATTATTTTTAGAAGATTAAGTAAAGTGGTTGGAATTATTTTCTTGCTTATTCCAATAGATACAAGGTTTTAATTTTATTTTAAGTTTGATATCAATATAAGTTAAATGATAAACTTTTTCTTCCCTTAACAACATTTAAATTTACAATCTTATGATTGATACCACGACATTTACATCAAATATTATGTTGTATTTTGTATATTCGTGTTGTTCGTTCTTTGAATTTTTAAAGTGACCATATTTCAATGGGATATCTGAAATGCGATATATGCTTTTAATTGTACTGTATATTTTAACATAGAATAACAGGGGACACTAAACACTTGAAATAAATAAAGAAAATAATAAAATTCGCACTAACAACTTTATTCGCAAAATTACTATTGCGCCCTCTAGTTATAAATATAGCACTTTTATTGACATGTGCATAATGACAGTTCATATTCCATTGACTAACGCCCACTACTTTTGGGGTATAAAATCGAATGTAGTAGCTCCGCTTATTTTGGCAGATGCACTTCGATGAAAGTGAACATTTTGCCATTTGTTATCGCGTTTGTGCCAGACGCGCGTCTCCTCAGACTGATGGGTGTGTGCATGTCCTTGCCTGTAAATTAAATATAAACAATTTTAATAGATTTCTAGTGCATATCTGTGCCAGGTACTTACTTATCTATGTACTGTGTAAGTCTGACATAGGCAATGCACGCGGCTTCTTCACCCAATAAGTGCACGTGGGGATTTAATATGGTTGTGTTGATAGCTTTGCAATTCTTACCAAGAACTGAAATCGGAATAAAATAGGTTGGTATCTTGCGAATAAGTCCTTAACACCTTACTCACCATTTTCAAAGTAAAATTTGTGAAAATCAATTCCTTCGACAAGATTACCCAAAGCTTCTGGCTCAAAGGCAGTTAGATGCGGATCACATATTTTGCTAAGGTACAAAAATTTTTACATTGATAACGTTTTGAGTTTACAAGTTTACACCCCTTCAAGATTACAATACTTGTTTTTGTATATATGTACCAATGTATACCAACATTTCTTAAAGCTTAAAATGTTGACCTTTCTTTCTTTATCTTTCTCTTTAACAGAATTTAAAAAAACCGATAGTTAGTTAAAAAAAACACTTAACTGATGAACTTTCTTTAGACAAAGATAAACGTTTATAATACATTTTTAACTTACGTGTATCCATCAAAGTCGCCGCTGTTGATAGCTTCAATCAACTGTTCAGTAATCTTTATTATTTCTTGTCGTCTAGCTGCTTTGATTAAAAATATTTTTTTAGGTTATTTAGTGTTAACAATTAGTTTATTATTGTAAAATTAGGTTAATCTCGGCTTTTTTCTATCTATGAACACAATAATACCCTAATTCTTCATACCGTAACATATCCTTAAGGCTTCATTTTTATATTCATACATATACCTAACGGAACTTATTGAATTCTATCTGTCAACAAATTAAAAGCTTTGAAACATGCGAAGAACATTTTATAAATTTATAAATTTGGAACCAAATCTGGCTTTTCAAGCCTTGTCGGCTGAAGTTTAAAATACCCTTGCAGACCTATGTATGTTTGGTAAATGAACAAAACGGCTTTAGTTTGACAGGTTTTAAACTTGATAGCAAATATACAATGTTTATTAAATAATACATGTTGTAATACACGATATTCCGAAGATGTTATTTAATTTACCTATGCACATTCCATCAATCGATTTTGACTCCAGAAATACCTCAAAGCTGTACGTAATTGAAGGAAGAATAATTAAATTCTAGCCAGATGACGAAATATCTCTATTATTTACTTTTCTGGATAAGTACCGGAACGCAGTCAATTAAGTTTGATTCAACATGATCAAATAATCATATAATCATGATTACGTTTTTAATGAGATGCTGTATAATTTGTGTCGGCAGAAAGGAATCCTGTGTTTCCAGTGTAGTGGATTAAATTCGAGTACAGTATTAAGTTGGTTTCATTTGTTTATTTTAAAACCTTTATAATTTTCGCTTTATACAATAATATACTGTACTCTCTTAATTACAAAAATTTTAAGTGCTTGTATAGCAAAATTTAATTTTTCATCACCATTGGAAGCCTTGCAGAAATCTCTTCCAAAGATGGTTAAACTTGTTTTAATGTAAATTACAAGGTCGTTTTCACATCTTTTGAATTCTGAATATATTTTCATTATATTAACCGTAAGCCGTTTGAAACGTCCCCAACTTCTTTAATTTTCCACTTTTCTGTTATTCCGACAAATTAATTGCACTTATAAAAGCCTTAACAAATATATTGTACATTTTATGCAAGCACTTTGCATTTTGGAACGTCTAAATAAAAAAAGTATTTATTGACTTCGAAAAGGTAATATGTGCATTTAAATCTCATTTGAAATTTGGCTTGAATACTAATATACAAATTTTAACAAAAAAGTCAGAGGGAAAAACACAAAGCACAAAAGCGATGTCATTGCAATAAAATTGAGTAAAATGGAAGACATTTTTTGTATTTGCAGAAAGGATATTCAATACTCATCAGCAAAGTGCGAAAGGCATTATAATTATAAAGGTCATTGCATATAATGAGAACATGGTTAGCATGCACTTATATAAGCATACGATTATTAATTTATAATTTAAAAATACATATTTGATGTGTGTACTCATGGATCTTGCATGTGCTTTCTTAATTAAAATCAGCTCTACAAATATTTTCCGTTTCTATTAAATGGCAATCAAAATATTTGAAATTAATTTTTTCCGATTAATTTCGCATGTTTATAGAAGAACAAATACAATTTCAGACCTCCTTAAAATGTGAGTTTCATCTTTAAAGTCATATTAGACTTGGAACTCCAAACTTTTTTTTGTATACATACATACCTGACGAGCACTGCGAGTTTCCTGTATTTTGCTGGCAAGTTTTTGCAGGACACAGTATCCTTATATCTAAAACGCACATTTTGTATTGTATAAAAATCAATTTTTATACAAATTGTAAGTGTTTTTAATAAAATCATCACTAGAGTAGAGTTTTTTGAAATGCGATTAATGAAAATTGTTCCTTAATAGTTCGGAATATGGGATGAATTTAAGTCTACGATGTGAGTGAAAAATGTGTACGTGGTAGGGATTTACTATAATCTGTATTTTCATGAAATTCATATATTTTTAAATATATTTAAAATATAACCCATGGATGAAAAACATATTTATGTAACTTTATGCAATCATACATTCGTCATTAAGGAACGGCCCAATTAAGCATTCAATATGCAAGGGACCATGGCATATAAGAAAAGAAGTTTTGAATTTTTGGAAGAGCAGCCATTCAAAAATCGTGAGTATGATAAATTAGAAAAAAAATACCGAAAACATACTCCCAAGGGAGGGAGATTGAAATTTAGAGTTGGTCAATAAAGTTCTTCGATAGTGATCTTTTTATTTACCTAATTATCCGTTTCTAAAAGAGAAACAATAGAGAACGCTATGGTCGGGTGCCCCGTCTCAGCTAAGGGGATATGAAACTTGGAATGCGCATAAACTTTTTAATGAATGGTCCGATTTGAACAATGTTTGGGTGCTAGATGGATAACCAAATCGTATGCGATTGTGTATATATAAAGTATATATGCTATTGATCAGGATCAATGTTATGACTTAATAAAAAAATTTAAGCAGTGTAAGCAATCGCTTTTCTGCATGCATATCCGTCTCCCTCGCACTTCCCTTAGCTGAGTAACGGGTATCTGATAGTCGGGCACCCTAACGTTCTCCATTGTTTTTATTTTGGAATGTATTTTTGTCTGTTTTTGGGGTTACAAATAAAATTATGTTCCTCCAATTACACTATGCAGCATCAAAAATGTACCTCGATGGATGCTATATTTTTGGATTCGTTACGAACTCCCAAGTCAATCTGCGTTTCCAAAAAGTTCCCCGACGCAAGGATTCTTGGCAAAAGACCTCAAAGTTCGAAAAATGCTAAAATTGGCCAACTTTTCGGAGCTCTCAGAGGCAAATGAATGCATGGTTTGATTCGATGCTAAAGTTTTTTAAATGATACACTCTTTATCTTTCAAACCCCATACTTAGAATAATTTTAGGATTTTTTTTAAGGCAGAAATAAATTCCAGAAAACATAGTCAAACAAGAGAGAACGCTATAGTCGGGTTGGTGTTCCGACTATCTAATACCCGTCACTCAGCTAAAGGAAGTGCGAACGCGGGCTGGTGTCCCGACTAATAATCGTAACTCAGCTAAAGGGAGAGCGAGGGAGATAGATATATGTAGATATTTTGATTGCGTATAACTTTTAAATGAATGGTCCGATTTGAAAAATGTCTTCTACATTTCGATAGGTATAAATATACACAACAAAATTGCATTTATACTTCTCGGAAATCTTTAAAGATGTGGGCGCAGGACCCATTTTAAAATCGTTAGTGGGCGATTGTGGGCGTTAGAGGGGGCGTGGCGCTCGGCTAAAATAAACTTGCGCTGCGTAGGAAGCCAAAGAATATGTGTGGAAAATCTTAACCTTCTAGCTTTTGTAGTTTCTGAGATCTCAGCGTTCATACAGACGGACAGTCGGACAGACGGACATGGCTAGATCGACTCGGCTAGTAATCCTGATCAAGAATATTTATAGTTTATAGGGTCGGAAACGCTTCCTTCTACCTGTTACATACTTTTGCACGAATACAATACACTCTACGAGTAAAGGGTATACAAAAAGACTCACAAAAGTATTCGTTTTGCATGACAATATTCCAATTTCTTTTAAGATTTTTAAGTTAATATTTTTAATGTTATAATTTAAAAGTGCTCCAACTTTTAAAAGTCAATAAAATTAATACCAAACGTACTCAAAGCTCTTAAAAACTATTTATTTATGTTAATTTAATAAATTTTTGTTCGTTTTAACCTAAGTTCCGTCCAATTTTAAAGGACTTAGACTAAATTATAATTAATACCAATAGGCTCTTTTTGGAATTTGTATTGCTGCACGAAAAAACTACAGTCGATTTCTGTGCCACGCCACCCTTGTATATATGTATCATTAAACGGACTTAAGCCTAGTAGTGACATCGGCTAAGAATTTCGCTTATCGAAAGATATTATTCTTTGTGGTGCGACCAAAGTTTTCACCCGCAATGCATGTAGCCTGGTCTTATTGTCAATAAGGTGGGGTTGAATAAGTCGCCAAGAGATTTTGACATACTCTTATAATAATACTATATAAATAGGTGATATCTTTGTCACCCCAGTATTAAGTAAAACTTTTCGACGCGGTTTTCCAGATCATAGCAACTTAAATCTGTACAATGCGCGAACGAACATCCACTCGGGGGAAAAGTGAAAGGGAAATGTGGAATTCAAAAGGTATGCTATACAAAATCTTTTTTTAACCTTTTTATATAATTTAGTATTAAAAAAAAAACATTTTATAACCAACATAATTTTATACAAATTTTTATTAAGTTTAGTCCGATCAGCTAAATTATGCAGATTAATGTATTTACACTTTTTTCACTACCTGTCGAACTTCGTTATATTGACCAATCGTTAATAATCAATAAATACAGGTAAATAAATATTATGGTATTTTGTTGCATTAAAGTTTCAATCCAAATGCAGAAGATTCAAAGCTGAAATGAAAAATAAGACTCTTGGGAATCGACAACAATCTTTTAAATAAATAATCGTTTTTATGAATATCCAGAAGCAGTCGCACATGCTAACAGTTTTCGATCTCGATTTTAATGCCAATGCTGGCAAAACTACACGCAACTACATAGAAACTTACATATGAAATGTAACCTTTACTAAGTTATTCGGTGAACTAACTTTTCAAAATCATTTTAACCTAGCGGTGTACATATTAGTTCTTTATTTTAGTCTTATTGAAAAATGGACAGACGACGATGCGATGCAATGAATGTGCATATATGTATATTGGATGTTTTTTATAGAAATAAGGAACGCAAAATTTGTGTACAGAAAACCCAAAAATGCAGAATAAGATTTACCTTCTGGCTCTTTTGATATGACTGTGGTACTGCGATCAACGATTCCTTTTTTATCTTCTAGGGAAAACAAAAAAATTTTAAAAAAATGTCATATTTGAAATTGCAAATGTACCAATGTGTCCCTTATGGTAATTCTGGTGAGATTAGTGAGTTGGGTTTGTGTTTAAAATGTTAAAATATATAGGGTTGTCACAGAAATCTCTATCAAGCCACGAAATTTAGAATTTGTATTGATGTACGTTTCCAATGCAATCAAATTCATCTGGAAAAATTTTTGTGACACTCCAGAAAATACAACATTTTCATTTTTTTACAGTTTGTTTAAGTTTAAGGCCTAGTACTCACTTCAATCAAAAAGGCAACGAAACGAAAATTTCTATACAAAAATGACAGGCGGAAAATTTCTTGATCAAAAATTTGTATGAAGATTTTCATTTCGTAGGCTTTTCGATTAAAGTGAGTACTAGGCATAATGTAAAAAAAATCCTATTTTTATTGACAAGGTCTTGCATATTTACATAATTAAATGAAATGAACATTTTCAATTATACAAATTGAAAATTGTACGACCGAAAACATTTTATTTTGTTAGGTTTTGATTTCGTAAGTTATTTTATTGAAGTGGTACTTGGCTTACGTTCAAAGCTATTAGTATTTAAAAAGTGTTGCTAAATTATGGTATATATATGGTGTTATTAAATACGTGGCATTCAAAAGTATTGATTTTTATTAATTACTTAACATCGTAAAGACAAATCCTTCAGTTCGCGAATTTTTGAAAAAATTTTGAATGAATGTATGTATATGCAAAAAAGTAGTTTATAAAATTTATTTATCAACAATTCGCGGCTTATTGCAGTGTCTTAAGAAAAAAAGTAAGTCAAAAATTAATAAATAAAATAATGCATAATAAAATAATGCATAACAATTTTTATATAATAAATTTCAAAAAAGATCATGTAATAATAAATTAAGAAAAAGATCAAGTGCTTTTGGAATTTTCAGATATTGAAGTAAGTTTCATCGACTTTCTGACATAAGTTTTAGGCATTTTTTAATTTAATTCTTTAATTTTGTTGATTGACTTTAAGATCCGATTCAGTCTGCCACAATAGAATCGTATGAATGAAATCGTGCAAAAATAGGAATATAAAAATAAGCTTTTAACAATATTTAAGTTAATTAAGGACATTTATTGCTTACGATTCAGTTATGAAAAAGCTATTTATGTAAAGTTTAGCTATTGCTTTCCATAAACCTGAGCTGTTTAAATTAATTTGATCAAAATGTTAGCCTGCAAGGGCAATTGAAACTTCATTCTTGGTAGATGGACAACTAAGTTAAAAGGCTATTTAAATATGTTCACAACATATATATGTAAATATTCCAAATTAAAGATTCCAGTCTAATTAGGACTTTATAAAAACATGCACTTACTAAAAATGGATTCGACAAAGAGGACAGGACTAGCGTCTTTGGGAATATATTAAGGCATTGCGGTTTTTTACTCAAAAGAATATAACGTAATAGTTCCATTTCGGCACAAGATATATTGTTTTTGTAGTACATAAAATTTGAAATATTAAAAAAGCTTTAACCTCAAATCTTATCATTTATGTTCAACTCAGTAGTACTTTTTCCTTTCTTCCCATCAAGCAAAAATTATAATATCGTGTTCAATGTAAATTAAACCAAATTTAAATATACAATTACAATCATGATCTATGTTCTTTTACGTGCTAGCTTTATTTTATCATACTTTATCTCTACAAATATATGCAAATAATTTTGTATTGTAGCAGCATTACCTAGACTGTATCTTAGTGCAAAGCTCTAGCGGTAGATTGTGATCCCTGACATATTTAGCTAATATACTAATGTTTGCAAGACTTGGCATTTTTAGTTTACTTTAAATGAAGGTGAAAGGTTTAATGAATTATAATATTTACCTTTAATGTCATCGTCTTCTAGAGTAGTGCTAGAAGAATCGGTAGATTCCTTGACTTGAGATCCGTCACCCTTTTTGGTAATCATACTTCTGCCTGTAAAATACACAAGTTTAGGTTCAATAAAATCACTGTTCAGCTTTTTATATCTATCTAAATTATTTTAATACAAAATTGTAATAAAAACTTTAACGTTGTGTAGCTGAGGAAAGATTTTCAAGGCATCTGGTTTAAAAAATGTCCAATGTTGTTTTTAAAATAGTATGCGTTCACATGTTTGACATCGAAATTGTTTATGATTATAATTATATTATATTTTATTTAAAAATTTAGCTTAAGGCCCCGTAGCTATAGCTAAATTTAAGTTGGACTATAAATTTTACATTATAGCCGAACACTTCATAATAATAATTATATTTAAAAATTACTTACTTGAAAAATTTCTGGTAGCCAACATTGTCGTTAGTATGGCTCCCTTTAGCTTGCGACGCGCATTAAACTTCTTCAGGCAGTCTACAGTTTCTTGGCGATGCACGACGGAAGCCACACGCTCTCGTTGCTGTCAATGCGCGTGCCATTTTATTTATAAAGTATTAAGAGTCTTTTTGTCTGTACTTACACAAATCCATGGGTGCTTCAAAGCCTCGGCGGCGGTTATTCGTTTATTTGGATTTACCGTAAGCATTTGGTTGATAAGATTCTTTGCTTCTGGGGTGACCGTATCCCATTCTGGAGACGGATACTTAAATAAAATAAAATTTACAGATTATTAGCAGATATAAGATATTCTAGATTCCATACATCATAAGCGCCTGCTTTAATCTGAGAGTACAGTCGGTGCTGATCCTCGTCCCAGAATGGTGGGTAGCCAACAAGAAGTATGTAAAGAATGACACCTGTGAAAAATAATTAGTTGCTGAATTGTGCTTTACTGTTTTAGATTGTCATGCTCGAGAATACAAATATGTTAAGAATTAGAATTGCTTACCACATGCCCATATATCTACCGATTTGCCATAAGGCTCCTTTTTCAATACCTCTGGCGACAGATATCCTGGAGTGCCAGCAAATCCAAACCAAGCCTGATGATCGCCTTGAACTTCAATGGCTAGACCAAAGTCAGCGAGTTTCACTGCTGCACCCTTTGCCTTACTAGCTAATAGTAAATTCTCTGGTTTCAGATCTCGATGCACCACACCATTTTGGTGGCAGTGATTGACCGATTCCAATATTTGTTGAATACAATGTGATGCATCAGCCTCTGAATAAAATTCGCGTGCAACAATATCTTCGAAAAGTTCACCACCAGTTACACTGCAAATGTATGTATGCATAGTCAAATTTTGTGGATTGGTTGTCTTAATTTAGATTTAGTTTATAATTTGAATAACAATAGCGGTAAGAACCTCTTTATTATAATAAAGTGTTCATATTTCGCAGAAACAAATTTTATTCGTTTTCATACAATATGTATGTACGAACGATCGGAGGGAAAAGGATGAAGTATGAATCTCAATAAACAATAGTCAAGTCATTGCAACATGTATAAGCGTTTGTTAGAAATTCATATTTTTCAAACATTTTTGGGAGTAGACAACGGGAATATTTTGGAAAGTATTTGTATGCTGTTTTTTTGCTTACAGATCAAAAACAAGATAGTGATAGTTCTCCTCCTGTATACTGTCATGCAATCGCACTGAAATAAAAAACAAATTTCAACACTTTATTTTACATATTTATTATAAAAATTATTATCTCAAGAGGTAACGTAGATTGTAGGCCTGTTGAAGTAGCTGATAAGTACTTTTCTAAAATATAAATTATCGTTCAGTTTAGTTTTCTCACAATAAAGTTAAAACTTTTATAAAATCTGACTATTAATAGACACAGCTTGAACTTTAAGCAATAGAGATCGCTATAGTCGAGTGCCTGGACTGTTAGATACCCGTTACTCAGCTTAAAAAAAGATTCAACGCCCAATTTTAAAATTGGCGACGGCACCGCCTACTGGAAGGCAGTGGTACCACTTGCCATGCAAGGCATAAATGTGGGAAATAGACAAAATTTAAGTAGTTCAACCAATAGGTATTGGCGAAAGGAATACATTTCAGTTTGAAGTTTCATTCTAGTATCGAAACAGTGTGCGACACAGTTTTTGGTTTTGTGGGCGAGGGGGCGTGGCAGCTTGATGAAACAAACTTGCGCTGCTTAGAATCTGTATACCAATGCCAATCTTCTAGCTTTTATAGTTTCTAAGATATCACCGTTCATACAGACAGACGGACATGGCTAGATAGACTCAGCTAGTGATCCTGAACAAAAATATATATACATACTTTATAGGTTATAACTCAAATTTCTTCGACAAGGCCTATAATCTCTGTAACAAATTGTATAATAACACATAACATACCTATGTTAGGATGGTGTAATTTTCTGCAGATCCTAGCTTCACGTTCCAGTTTTTGAAAGTCTTTATTAAATATATTAAAAAACAAAATTTAATGTATATGCGTATAAGCAACATACATAAGTAGCGTGCGAGGTGTTTGGCTTGACCCAGATAGATTGCTTACCTCTTGCAGTTAATTTTTTTGTATTTATAATTTTTGCAGCAAATTCAAATCCAGTTGACTTTTGGACACATCTTTTTACTATTGAGAAGGCCCCTCTGAAATTTTATTAATAGGATAATTATAATCAATTCAGTTGTACTGCTTCTGATTTACTTACTTTCCCAGCTCTTCTTTGATGTCGTAGTTGTCCGAAAAACGCGTACAGGCTGCTGGTGCAGCCATCGCGATGGCACACTTAAGAAAATCTATTGCGACTATAAATCTTTAACAAGTCCCCAGAAGTGCTTTCCTAGGTGTTCGAATGTTGGTTTTCTGAATATTGAGCAAAAGAAAGAACGTTATTAAAGTAGAGGTAAGAACTTAATCTATAAGTACTTATAATAACCACCAATATGTATGTACTAGGTCTGTTATGAATGGGGTTATATTAAAATGGATTTACATTGAAAACGGTAGCGCAAGTACATAAAGGCACACACAGTAAAACAATTCAATTGGGTAATCCAGAGTTTTTGATACAATTAAAACTTCATCTCTAATTTCGATCTCCTCTGGCGATCTATTTATTTTCCCTGCTGGAAGCGCCATCGATTCGTGCCCCGTTTGTTTTCTAAACCACCGTCTTCCATTTCGAGCTCGTGAAGCAGAACATGCCGATATGGTGGTCCAATTTCTGGCTGCGACCCCAGGTTATTCTTCAGCCAAGTGCGCACAACAATAGCAACGCCTCAGGACCTTCAGGACTTATATCGGGCAGATCAGGGATCACTTAATTGCTCAGGCGAACACATTTGCGTAAGCAAAAAGCGCTGTAGACGATGCGATCTCGTCGTCGTTGTCAATCCCGGCTAATCAACCCTACTATCCAGGCGTTTACATTTATTTATTATTTCTATGTTATTATTGCAATACATTTATTACATTTTTTTACAATATAAATATTCTGCAGTAATTGTATTGAATGTTTTGATATGGTCACACCATTTGCAGTCGTTCTCGTACCGGCGTTTTGAGAAATGACAAAATTAACTAACGCCTTTGTGAAAATGTATTTGTACCTACGTATGTAGATAATGAAATTTTTCGAATGTAAGCAAGCAAAATACCAATTTATTATTTTAAAATTAAGGGGCCTTGCGCCTTTGGAATATAGTTTTTTCTTTACCATTAGTATGTTTATATCAAATGTGATAATGTTAAATCGGACCTTCTAATACTTTAAAAATATTATCTGGGCAAGTTGTATTTTTTAGGTCAATTACGCTGAAGTGTCGTAGATCAATAGGGGTTTTCTGCAAGCCACGATTTAAAAGTCCGTGCTGACCGGCATTTCTAAACCGCTTTACGGCGTATGGAAAAAGTTTTATATAATTTTAAACTTAAAAAACCGATTTTTCGGCATAAACACGAGTTTTGACTACTAAACTCAAAAATGTTAAATTAGGCTTCCCAGGGACTGGGACTGGGACAGGGGATTTTGGCTGAGATACAGTGAACGCCACAAAACGCCTTTTTTAAAGTGTTCAAGCAAACGTTTTGCCACCGATATGTTAGCCTACAGTATCGGATACTAAAAGTAAGGAATGCTATTCAAATGAAAAAAGAAAAGGCTAGGTGGGCGATTATTTGATGCCAAAAACCACAAAGAACTACCTACATTTATCGAACTATCCTTTTAAAAATTCTCAATTAAACAATTTTAAAATTGATAGTCAACGGTTCAACGGCAACTATATTTTTTTTAAAAAGTAACTTCAATTTATGACATGGATTGAGCAAAAAGGCGAACAAAAGATGATCCAATAAATATTTATTTTTGTCACATAGTTTTCCACCACGATAAGACATCCGACGAAATGTTTATTTTAAAAGGGCGTGCCACAGCACCATGGCAAGTCAAGACCTGGACTTTACCTTCCCTTAAAATTTTTATATTTTTGTTTTTATGTTAATAAGAAAAAAACTTGTTATAACTTGTAAGCTGCCTCATTTCAGGGTTACTAGTAACCTCCATGAATTTTTTATTGCGGGTCAGAACTTCTAAAACACCGCTTTCTTAAAAGCTATGTACATATATACATATGTATATAAGAATGTAAATATAATTACTTAGAGTTTGGATGAGATTAGAGACTTTTTATTCCAACACTGATTTTCGTGCTAAACAACGGTCTAATTAATGCTTTTCCACAAGACAAAACAATATAATTATGAAAACATTTTTAAAGTTGACTATGGGATCTTTTGAATTATCAATAAACTTAAAATGTTAACATTTTGAGCGACAGGTGTTTTTGGTTAATGTTGGTTCCTTTCTAAATCAGAAGTTCCTGCTTAAGAGAATGTATCTGGGGCACAGTACCAGCATGTATTTGTACGTAAGTATGTATCCTTTGCAGGTTTCATATACTTGAGCTTTTTTGATTGAGCTTAATGGTAAAACGCCCCTTCCCGTTTAACCAGGATATTCCAGGGCATTAGGTAGAACTTGTTGCAAATAATCCAGTTGTGTAAAATCATAAAAACGGTTTTACCGTGAAAAAATCTATCTGCAGGAACTTTTAGAGCTTTATTATTTTAACCGTTATTTAGTCCGAAACGACGTGACTAGTAGGCAAAACACAATTAGTTACTTACAACACTTGGATAAAATCAATACTTTGATTTAAGTTACATGAATTTAAAGCCAGCTCCTAAAGTATTATCCCGCATAATTGCTGAATTTGTAATTGTTAGTCAGCACATACACAAGCACATAAAGGGATACATACAAACGTTAAAAATCCTTTAAAGCTCGGGGCGAGGCGAGTAAATTTCCTTATTAACTTAAATATAACATTAAGACCCTTTATACGCGTAAAAAATGTTTTTAATATACATATGTATGTTTGTGCACACCTATGTGTGTATATACACAAAAAATTAACATACTTTAGATCGAAAATATTCACGTTGGTGTATATTTTTGAATCTGTGTTGACCCAGAATTGTATCAGGAGAATAATACACCGTTATAGATATGTATATATTTAAATAAATATATGTATATATAGGTTATACATTGAGTATGTATATAGAATTATTTTATCAATTGGATACCTATATACTTGATGTATATGTCAGACGTGTGCACTAATCAATTCAACGTCTCCGCAACCCAAGAGATGTGTCTGAATTTTTGTCAGTATCTTTTGGAATGACAATATGGTAAATAATTTTCCGAAATGCACATACAAATATCTACATATGTATATATATATATTTTTTTTAGCGAACTGGGAGAACACGACGCGTTAGATTCAGATTCCGAAATTTTGAGAACGTCTGTTTTCTTGAAAATCGAATTCAATACTGACTAACAAGATTTTGCGGTCGCGTTTGATTCGATGAAGTGCCGAAACGAAAAGCTTTTTGCCGACTTTTCCTCAGACTGTCGTTCAATTGAAAACGTATGCCTACGAAGGCCTTATACAGGAGTCTGCGCACTAACAAGATGCTTGTTGTTGTTGCGCAGATAACACAAACTATTGGTTACAGCTGCACACTGAATGCACTGAATGCGGAGTGTTGCAAGCTATTTTGCAGAAGTTTCCGCAGGAGAGACCTTTAACAGTATATGTATATGCTCATATGGAAGACCTTAAGAATTTGTGAAATAAATAAATAAATAATAAATAATACACAAAAAAAAGATAGCATTTTACCGTTAGCCAGTACGCACTCCACAATATACTCATACAGTTTTTTGCCTTAAAACTGATACAAGTTTTACAACCCCGATTCACCAAACCGCCTAGAAAAACCACTCCGTCCGTTTACTTTACTCTTATCCTGTGCAACTGTTAAATAAAATTAGTTGGAAGCGATTAGAAACCGGTACAAAGAAATCCAACAAAAATGGTGGTCCTTTTATAAATATTTGGAAAAACTCACTGTTGATCGTACAAAATAAATAAACTATATTTAATTTAAAATAATTTATATTGTTTTAGCAAATTTAGAACGAGCCGAGTCCTTAGGATGCACACCTCAGTATAAAAAGAAGAGAAAACGCTATAGTCAAGTTCCTCGACTTTTAAATACACTCAGCTTGACAACTTTAATATAAATATGCCTTTTTGTATGATTTTCGCGCACCCCATTTCAAATAACTTACATTTTGCATTCACATATTCCAAATTAGAGTGACGAGCTTTTTTCCAGCACCAGCAGCTGTGTTGATCACGCGGCGACGGCGACATCTATGGCACGGAATTGGTACTGTTTACTCACAGCTTTTTGCGGTTTGTGGGCGTTAGAGGGGGCGTGGCACTTTAGAATCTGCTTGCTTAATGCCAATCCTGTATCTTTTATAGTTTCCGAGGTCTCAGCGTTCATACAGACAGACAATCTCCGAGTAACGGGTATAAAAAACTGTAAGTGTGAACTTTCTCATGCCTGGAAGCGCAGATACTCTGTCCCGACCTGTCCAGACTTTTAAGTATTTGCCACCAATAAAAAGGACCTCGAACCACGAGTTATTCAGCCCGAAGCCCAAAAGGAATTTTCATAAAAACGAGAACTTGGGTCCAAGCCCAACTATAATTTGCCAATATTTGTGTGTAGTTGGTAGTTATTAAAGTGAACTAATTCTAAAGTTTAAAAGTAATGAAGTTAAGGCGGAACACCTCTTTGACACCAACTAATAATAGTTCGTTTTATTTTCAACAATTTTTTACTCGAGAAAATAGGGTTGTTTGTAGTCGTTAAATAATTGTCCAAGTATAAACATTTTATTTATCCTTATATATTGATCTTTAGAAGTGGGCCAAACATGAAATTAAATAGTTAGGTATTTGTATTACATTGTGCCACATTTTTATGGCTTAGAGCGCGGTTGCATATTATAACTATTTCAACATTTCAATTAAAAATTGGCAATAACTCAAGACTTGAATGAAATTACATTTGCATTTATTGACCTGAGGATTAAAAATGCTAAACAACGTTTAATAAAAAAGGGCATCTATGCATATGCTTCAAAATGTGGAGAAAAATACCAGATGTTTCATTTACTTTTTTGTGTCTACAGTTTTATATTCACTGTTTTAACCCAATTTAACAACTTGTTGTACCTTTAAATGTATTTACATAAAATAAGGTTGAAGACGCGTACCTGAAAATTAAATCTGCTTAAGATAGATTGCATTTATAAATCAATTTATACACCAAATATTAAAATTGCTACGCCATATGTGGTTTAAATCGTACCGATGTGTGCTTTTGGTTCTTGAAACCCAAATTGCTGTTACATTTTCCGTGTTGCACTGTGTTTTTAAATGTATTTGTGTTGTTAAATGTTAATAGCCTATCTACACTAAAGCGAAGTACTCACATCGACGAAAATTGCTAGCTAAGCATAGGAGTAAGCGAGAGGCAAATAGGTAGCTAAAGCCTTTAGCCGGGGCCTTTTTCCCACCTCGGTACTCAGTTGAGCTAAGGAAATAGTGAGAAAATACCACAAATATACTAGATTTAGCGGATGAATTCCGATGAACGCCTTTAGCTGCCGACCAAAGAATAAAAAATTTGATCTTTGATTGTGCATGTGCAGAAGCGGTGTGCCAATAACAATTTATAAATGGAAGGAAAACCAGAAAAACCAATGGCCAATGCCTGTAGGAGCTGCTGCAATACATATCGCCATTCCAACAGCGAATTGAGAGCTTGCGACCCAGGTCGGCTCAACGTATTGTAATATTTTAAAATTGGCGCCAGTTGATTTGTTTGTTGAGAGTAAGACCAAGCTACAAGCAAAGCGGGTGAACTCAGAAAACTTCGGTCACACTACAAAAGAATAATATTTTTCGACTAGGTGAAACTCTGATTACGTTTTGATTGCACTTCACGTTGTTTCGTTACGCTTTGATTGCACTTCACGTTTTGATTGCACTTCACGTTGTTTCGTTACGCTTTGATTGCAAGCGGAAAAGTGTTGAAAACTTGAAAAATCTGTATTTGTATTTATTGATATTTTAGTGATTTTTCCAAACATCGGCTATCGAGCCGAAAACGCTTAACAGGGACTCCGAGTCCCTGTCAAAGTTAGCTCTCACATTGGTGCTCGAGAAAGCCAAAATGACTTAGCAGGGACTTTATCTGTTCGAGAAATGTTAGCCGGCACTCGAGAAACCGGCCCTAGGCTTTACCCGCGACGCACAGAATAACAAATTTGATCTTTGGCTGTGTTTGAGCAGAAGCGGTGTGGCATAGAAAATCTCTATGAAAATATAATGGATTACAACACAACACTAATTACAATTTTATCGCTACCATGTGGAATGTATTCGGCGGCAAATGATTGTTTTTTTTATTGCTATTAGCAAATGGTCCAAGAATGGGAATTCCATCCAGAACCAACAGCCACGCCACGAGAATTTCAACAAACCTATGATATTTATAGCACTTTACTCCCATACAGATCTTAAACTATATCCTTTTTTAAACAACAATTTTGGACAATATTGGGAGATGAGATAATATTCTGAGTTGTAAGGCTTTTCGGTTCTTTGGACATGCACCAAGCACCAATTTCCAAGCTTTGGCCATTGCAGTATAAATGCATATTCTTCCCAAAAAACCCCGAAACGCCAATTACAACAAGAGAGAACACTATAGTCGGGTGTTCCGACTATCAGATACCCGTTACTCAGCCATTGGGAGTGCGATGCATAAAATTTAGATCGCGCATAACTTGTTACCGAATGATCGGACTTCAAAAATTTATTTCGCTTTTTTGTCAACGATCTTCCTCAAGTAATTGAGTTCTCCAAAGTACTTATGTTTGCGGATGATGTCAAGTTGTGTATGCATCTGACCTCACCTAGTTCCTACAAGCAGCTCCAGCTCGACTTAAATAACCTTCAATCCTGGTGCCTAGTCAACAAGCTACTGCTCAATCCTGATAAATGTAAATCCATGTCATTTTATCGATCCAATCCATATATTTTTACATACTCAATAGATCACTCTGCACTTGAACGCATTGATACTGTTCTTGATCTTGGTGTCCTATTTGACCACAAGATTTGTTTTAATCGCCACGTCAGTACCATCTCCAATAAAGCTAAATGCTTATTAGCTTTCATAAAACGCTGGTCTAAGGAATTTGATGACCCTTTCACCACTAAGCTCCTTTACGTCTCTCTAATTCGTCCTACACTTGAGTACTGCTCCAGTGTTTGGTCTCCACAATATGAGCACTATCAAAATATGATAGAATCCATCCAAAAGCAATTTCTCCTTTTTGCACTACGAGGCTTAAACTGGGAGGAGGGACGCCGTTTGCCATCTTATAGAGACAGGTTGCGCCTCTTGGATCTACCTACCTTAAAGGATCGTCGGACCTGTTATGGTGTGATATTACTTCACAAACTCATCACTGGCGCCGTCGACTCAGTTGATCTGTTAGCCACCCTCAATTGGAACGTTTCTTGCAGAGCTACTCGCAGATTCCGTCCATTAGCACTTCCTGTGTGCATGTCAAACTACTCCCGTTTCGACCCCTTCCGAATCCTATGTGATAACTATAATGAACTTTATCACCTCATATCCTATGAGTGCTCTGCCAAGGCTAATTCGCTAAAAGTCATTGCGTTCCTTTCTACATCGACTTAATTAGTTCTCCTACGGTACAATTTAAATTATTGTTTTTTTTTTAATTTATGATGTTTTTATTTTTATGCTATGTATATAATTTTAAGTCTTTTGAGCAGTACATTGCTTTAAATAAACAAATAAATAAAATAAAATTACCCAAACCGGCTCTATAGTTTATGACCAGACCTTATGGTGGTAAAAACAATTGCCGGGAAGCATAATACAGCAATATTATTATTTGTGCACAGATGCCTTCAAATAACGTATAAATATGGTCTTATAATACCCTAGACGATGACCAAATTTCCTACTCCCGAGGCTTCACCTGTTCGTCACTTTATGTCACTACCACCGAAGTGCTTTACGTTCCAAGAAAGTCAGGTTTGGGTAATTTGGAAACGAAAATTTTGAAAGTTCTATGTAAAAAACCGTCGGTACCATTTTGTCAGTGCATTTTTTAATTTTTTTGTTTGTTACCTAAAGTAAAAGTATATTAATAACATTAAGAACAAAACTGCATCATTACTTTTCCCGTAAAAGCAATAGGAATGGAAAAACTCCCAATAAGGGGTTCGTCCGTAGACTTTTGTCCGCCACTGTATATGTACATATATTCGGCCAGCCGAAGCTAGCTTTCTTTCTTGTTTGTTGTGCGTTACTGTCTAAAATTGTTACCAAGGTAAGAAGTAAAAGTCCCGTACAAACTTTTGTTCCATCAGCTACAGGTTCCGCGGTTTAGCTAAGAATACAAAAAACGATTTTTGCCGACCAGCTCAAAGATGCTGGGTTGAAAAAAATGATATTTTTAAAATTTCAAAAGCGGAATCATTTGCCCATCTTTTGCCATTGTTTGCCCACCAATTAGTTTTTTTGCCCACGTCCAGTTTTCAAAATACAAAATTTCGAAAATTTTCGAAATTTTTGTTGGCCCATCTTTTTGAATTTTGGGAAAGTTAATACTTTAAAAGTTATGTTAATTATAAGTTTTTCCTTAAGAAAAAATCGTTTGCCCACCCTGTGAGGTATTGGAATACCACACAAGAATAAGGACCGGGAACAGTACCTAATTACGGGGAACGGTACCTAAATACAGGGAACAGTACCTAAGGGGACGACAAGGAACCTCTTGATTGTTCCAGGCCGAGGATGGAGGGAAAGGCCGTTAGAAGACCCTGGGGAAATGAGAGTCAAGTGGGATGGCGGACTACGAGAACTGGTGAAGGAGCGAAGAGCCGAGCAGCGTCGAGTGTCAGCAAGATTTGTTACCTTATAAGGATTATAGATTAATAGATTAATCCTTATAAGGATTATAGATTAATCTCTTAAGATTATACAAAAAAAGTTTTAAGTCAATCGGACAAAACTTTACATAAGTGCATCTTTAAGTGCGTTTTTCTCGAAACCATGTTTCGAAAGTCTGTGTTCATCGGCATTTCTAAACGGCTCAACCGATCGTTTTCAAATTTGTCGCATATTTTTCTGCATAAAAAAAACCCGCCCCCTGGGAAGCATTTTTTTTATTTATTAACTTTAAATATTTTTTTTTGAAGCCGAAAGTCAAATTTTTTATATGAAAAACGCATTTTTGTTTTCTAGAATTTGTTTCTGCCTTTAAAAAAATCTTAAAATGATTCTAAGTATGGGGTTTGAAGGATAAAGAGCGTATCTTTTAAAAAACTTTTTTTTATCCGTTTTCCTCTGAGAGTTCTAGAAAGTTGCCAATTTCAGCATTTTTTGAACTTTGAGGTCCTGTTGCTAAGAATCCTTGCGTCGGGGAACTTTTAGGAAAACGCAGTTTAACTTGGGAATTCGTAACGAATCCAAAAATATAGCATCCGTCGAGTTAAATTTAAAAAACAGTAAAAATGCTGCACAGTGTTATTTGTAGTTCGTTATGAGCGAAAAAGCGTTCGCAAACAGGTTGCTATGAGTGGGCCAAAATGTAAGCTGTTCTGCGTACGAAAACATCAATGTTTTCAGCAAAGATTCAAAACATATTCTGCACTTCGTAAATAATAACTAATATTAATAAAAAGTGTACTATGAACTCCTATAAAGTTCCAAAGTTTCTATAAATCTTTAATGGTGTTCCCTTAATATTGTATGAAGTGTGGTTAGTAATAGGTAATTTTTAAGCTTTACGGTGTGCTGGATGAGTACTATGCAGTTGTGCAGTTGTGTTCTTCGGATAAGTACATATCAATGTAATTTTTTTTTCTCAGTTCTAAGACAAGTCCAATTTATGTTAAACTAATAAAACTTATGTCGGCATATTAGGCTTTGCAATATCAGCAGATATTGAAATATTGGCAATTAATACAGACTTTAGAGTGATGTTCCAGTTAATATTATATATATATTGTATGATGTGTGGTTAGTAATAGGTAATTATTCGGTTTACTATGCGCTGGTTGATTCCTATGCAATTTTCCACTCTAGTTGCATTTGCGAATTTTCCACTCTAGTTGCCTACTGCTTATCGAATAAGTGCATATTATTAAATATATAAAAAAAACATATTTTCGTTCACTCGATAATACGATTTTACTCTATTTAATGTTCCGATGTCATGCGTTTTGTCAAAGCCTGAACACGTTGGGCATTGCAGCTCTTACATAGAACGTGATCATCTAGGGGATAACATCCGCGACCTTCAGCTTCAGATGACAGTAATAGCCCACAGTCCTATTGTATTTATAAGGAAAAGAGACATCATGCGTTTTTATTTAAGTTATTTAGTTCAGTTTACCTCGCACTTATAACACTCTAGGTGAAAGCTTCGATCTAAGGCCACAACTCTGACCGTTTCTTCTTGTCCGGGATCTGGCATAATTGGTTGTTTACACACACAACAGCGAGGAGCAAATTTTCTTTGATTTAAAATTAATTAGTCATTAGGACATACCACTAAAATAAATAACTTACTTATGAAAATCTGTAATACAATAGTTTTGATTAGTAGCGTCCACTGTAAATAATTTACCATCTAAGCTTTTTCCACATACGACACATGTAAAACATTGCGGATGGTATGGCTTTCCGGTTGCTCTGAGAATTCTCTCCAAAATGGGCTTCATGCAAACCGAACATTTTTCCAGTGTTTGTAAATAATCATATTCGCAATATGGTTTGCCGTCTAATGCATAAAATGGTTTTCCCTGTAAGTTTATTTGGCAGTCTGTGCATGTAAAGCAAGATATATGGTATATTTGATCCATTGCTGTACACCCACTACTCTCTCCAAGTACACGTGAATTGCATTTAACACACCTACCTATTAGCAGAATATTAACCATTTATTGAAAATAATAATGTGTTTAAACTTACCGTAGTTTTCAAACTCTTGCACTGGATCAGGGGCTATTGGAATATAGTTATTCATTCCCTCGTCATTATTTTTATGAATAGTGTTCTCCATATAACATTTAGTTCGACCATTATCATGCGCGTATAACGAATGGCTAGCTTCATGTGAAGTCGATATATTTGGGTCACAGGAAATGCTTGGAATATTATTATCATTGACGTATGAACCGTACAGATTACAACTTTCCCGATGCAACAGGTCTCCAGAAGGTCGAGGGTTTATAGGTTCATATATTGAATCATATGTAGAAGAACTCTGTAACAATTAATAAATTATATTATTAATATGTAACTATATTGTCTTAGATTGTTAAAATAAGATTATGTGTGGTAATGCTTATTATCAGATAACCGTTCCTTGAAGAGTAAAAAGAATATTGTATTTGTTGAAAAGTATTTAACCGACCATATGTATATGTATGAAAATCAGCTTAGCATTAAGCGCACATAGGGAAAAACTACTCTTTCTCTGCAGCCGCACAGCCACTGCATTCACAGAACTAAAAGACAAAAGTATTGCGTATTGCGTTTGACCGCTGCTGTAAAGTATAATTATTCTTGATCAGAATCACGAGCAATTTGGTTTAGCCATGTCAATATGAACGCCGAAATCTTGAAAACTAAAAGGGCTAAGGCTCAGACTTATTATGCAGAATATAAAGATGGGTCATTTGTGTAAGCCGTCCCAACTTTAGGCTATGTACATATGTAGGTTTATTTTAAAGTTGCTTATTGCTTTTGCTTAAACAAATAAATATATACCTGTGATAGCCCACCGTAGCAATACAAGTTTGGATTCGTTTTGGACTGGAGATTCTGAAATAGCCGTTAAAAAGGATTCGGGGTTAGGATTATTGTATTTATATAATATTTATTTTTTGTATGTATTTACATAACTACATAGTTCTTTTCCAAACAGTGTAAATTTCAATATAGAAACGAAAAAGGAAAGAAGAGCTAGGGTTCCGGTTTGTATACCGGCTAGTCGATATGCTGAAACAAGGTTCAAACCTAAACTAAAATAAAAAAATTTAATTTTTTTTAAATACAATTTTAATGATCTGTAATCTACAATATTCAGTAATATTTTGTAAATGCATGCTTACACTGGCAAAGAAATAACAAAAATTGCATTCACCTTTTTTTGGGTCTAAGATTATAAATTAAATATTTTGTGTACCTTCATTATGGCACCATGTTGCAGCGCATATTGGTTTGCATATATTTGTAATGAAGGATTTAATTTCTGTTTATTTTGCAAAGAATCCAATGGCTTGTTAAAGGCGGTGGAGGCTCGCCGAAGCTCGCTATATGAAGAGCTCACAGCGCTCTCTGGACTAGGAGGTGGTGGCACGTCATCCTCTGTTTCGTTGTCTGATAACAAATTTGTGCAGACCGAGAGCATCTTATGTGGCAAACCTAAGAAAGGCCCCTTGGCATTATTCGCATAATTAATCTTCATGATAACATACCAGCTTCATGAACATTTGAATACGTATTTGCAGAAACGCCTGTTTCCTTCGATAATAGTTCAGATTTTTCTAAATTTATATTGCCATATATCGAGCTTTTCCTCAATGAGTTTGATTGCGGCTCCGGAAAGCTGTTGATAGATTGTGATGGTTGGATTTGGACTCCTAAAAGACCTTTTTTTTCCATTTGAAGTTTGTGGTAGGCCAGGGCTTCTAATTGCTGTTCCAGTATAGCCGGATTGTCTAATGTGGTTTTTCTGTTTATTGGGATCTCAGCCAGTCCGCAATTAGAATTGGCGTGTTTTCTAAGGGGCATGGCCCCACTTATTGTTTTATCGATTCCAATTAGTGGTTGTGAATATAGCGGTTCTCGCGAACAAGAAACCTGCTTACTTGATGGTACCTGTAAAAAAATATATATGTATATATATCTAAGTAACCACTCTTCATAAGAGAAATAAATATGTAGATTTATATTTTTAAAACCGGAGAGAACGCTATAGTCGGTGCCCCGACTATCAGATACCCGTTACTCAGATAAAGGGAGTGCGAGGTAGATGGAGATATAAAACTTTTGACGCGCATAACTTTTTAACAAATGGTCCGATTTGAAAAAATTCTTCTACAAATCTTTAAAGATTATATTATATTATATTTCATTTCTAACGTTTCACGTTACTTTACGAGTAACGGGTATAATAATCAGATTTTTTAATTAAAGCCTACTTGTTGTGACCAAAAAGTCTACACACAAAAAAATTTGCTTGGTAAAATTGACCAACAAAGATAGTTACGTAACTATTAAAATAGTTACGTGTATTTTGTTTTTGCTTTGGGTTTGTGTCTTCGCTAATTGTGTGTATTTTGTTGTTGTGAAATGACAATTTACTTAGTAGAATTGACAATTTTGCTGGTTGGGGCCTGTTTGACAATTATTACAGTTGATTTTACCAAGTTTTTTCTTTGTGTGTACGAACTGAAAATCTCTACATAAAATTTGGTGTATGAAATTTTTGTATCGAAATTTTCATTTCCTTGCCCTTTTAATCGAGGATAAATGGATTTAAATTAAACATTTGTATACCCTTGCGAGGGTATTATAATTTTAGTCAAAAGTTTGCAACGCAGTGAAGGAGACGTTTCCGACCACATAAAGTATATATATCAGCATCAATAGCCGAGTCCATCTAGCCATGTCCTTCTGTCCGTTTCTATGCGAACTAGTCTCTCAGTTTAAAAGCTATCGCTATGAAACTTTCCCAAAAGTCTTCTTTTTATTGCAGGTAGTACATATGTCGGAACAAGCCGGATCGAACTAATATATCTTATGGCTCCCATAGAAATAATAAAAAAAACAAGAAAGGAAGTTGGCTTCGGCAAGTCGAAGCTTATATACCCTTGCAGATCATTCTATTAATTTACAAATCGCAAAAATGTTAAATTTCTTATTATTTCACATTAATTTTTCGATCGTTTCTATCACAGCTATATGATATAGTAGTTCGATCTTTTAAAAATTAAAATCGAAATTCGGAAATATTTCAAAATAGTCATATTCCACAGTAGAAGGAACTGTAATAAAAACCAACAAAGATATAATTTTTTTCCCATTAATTTCCATTTAATTTTTCGACCGTTCCTATGGCAGCTATATGATATAGTGATCCGATTTAAAAAACAAAAAAAACGAAGTTCAGAAATATATAAAAAAAAATGTTCCCAAGAGTAGAAGGTAAAATTTTAAAAAACACCGGAGCTAGAATTTTTTTACGTTTTTTTTTTGATCCTTCCTATGGGAGGTTTAAGATATAGTTGTCCGATCCGTTTGGTTCCGACATATATACTACCTGCAATAGAAATACGACTTTTACGAAAGTTTCATCCCGATAGCTTTAAAACTGAGACTAGTTTGCGTAGAAACGGACGGACAGACGGACAGACGGACATGGCTAGATCGGCTCGTCTAGTGATGCTGATCAAGAATATATATACTTTATGGGGTCGGAAACGTCTCCTTCACTGCGAATTTTAGGACTTTTTTAAAGGGAGAACAAAATTAAAGAAAACATAGTAACAAAACGTAAAAATATACAGCTGCGGTCAAAATAGCAGTAGTGCTCTCGCTTAACTAGCGGGTTTTTCAAAAAATCGTACAACTTTTTTACTAGGCTCCCTAACAATGCAAAAATTAGTTTATGTCCCTAAAATAGCGATTTGATTCATACAAACATTTTCAAAAGTCCTCTATAATCTTGTTTTGGCTATTACCTTTGAACGGATTTTATCATATGACCTCTCGTTACGCATATTTTTAGTAAATATTCAACTGGGTTTATCCCCACCGCCCCCAACAGCTCCAATTTTCTAAATTTTTACTTTCACACTTGCACCGCTTTTTCTTTCAAGCCAACTAAATTTTCTTTAAGTCTTGGAATGGAATCCTTTAAGTTTTGCGACACCTTTTGATTGGTATACCACTCGCTGATCGGGCCATTACAGCAGATTTTCAATTCTTGCTGTGTATATAAATTAGACTGGGTCGATTTGTATGAGCTTTTTTCAATGCTGTTATTTTGAATATTAGTAACGGCTTCTACATTTTTCTCAAAAATAAAATGAAATACCAGTATTTTTCTTTTGCAAGTGCGGAGGGTCAAACGTGGTTTTAGGCATATAGTTTCTTGGCCAATATGTCTTAGAAAGGTCCATTGATTATGTTCCGATCAAACGACTTATATCTTTTTTCGCGTCGATACAAATGTTCAAAATTTCAGGCAACTGAGATATTTTTTATTAAAAATCCAGTATTTTTCTCTGGCAAATGCGCAGGGTCAAACGTTATTTTCAAGGTATAGTTTATTTGGCAATATTGCTTGGAATTGTCCATAGAATGCGTCCCCCCCTACGATTTGTTGACCTCCAAATCTACCCACCCCAATATACATAGTAGTCGCTATGCACACTCTCCTGGTGCGCTATTACTCTGGCCGCTTTTGCAATCCACCTGTTTTAATTATTTAACAAGAAAGGAAGTTAACTTCGGCCTGCCGAAGTTTATAGACCCTTGACGGTATGCCTACTTAAAATGTGGTTTTTACATTGTCAAAAATCAAAACGCCTACTTTCTACAAAGTTACAATGGTTTTTTTATTATTCCTATGGGAGCCATAAGATATGGTTGTCCGATCCGGCTCGTTCCGAGCCCAAAGAAGACTTTTGGGAAAGTTTCATGGCGATAGCTTTAAAACTGAGGGACTAGTTCGCATAGAAACGGACAAACGGACATGGCTAGATGGACTCGGCTATTGATGCTGATATATATACTTTATGTGGTCGGAAACGTCTCCTTCACTGCGTTGCAAACATCTGACTGAAATTATAATACCCTCTGCAAGGGTATAAAAATGATGTGTGTTATAACTCAGCTAAGGGGAGTTCGAACGCTGTACGCGGGTTGGTGGTCCGACTATAATCGTATAGATATATAGATATATATAGATATTTTGATTGCGTATAACTTTTTAATGAATGGTCCGATTTGAAAAATGTCTTCTACATTTCGATAGGTAAGAATATACACAACAAAATTGCATTTAAACTTCTCGGAAATCTTTAAAGGTGTGGGCGCTAGACACATTTCAAAATCGTTAGTGGGCGATTGTGGCGCTCGGCTGAAATAAACTTGCGCTGCGTGGGAAGCCCAAGAATATGTGTGGCAAATCTTAATCTTCTAGCTTTTGTTGTTGTGGAGATCTCAGCGTTCATACGGGCAGACAGACAGACGGACATGGGTATATCGACTCGGCTAGTGATCCTGATCAAGATTATATATACTTTATAAGGTCGGAAACGCTTCTTTCTCCCTGTTACATACTTTCCTCACGTAGGAATTGAACATGGGTATAACTGTATAATGGAAGGAAAGGCTAACCGCTTGGTTATTGTCTGTGCTTTTTTATGTCCTTAAACTTTACTCAAAATGAATGTTCTTGATATTACGTTAACAAACAAAAAAACGAAGTCATCGGAGCTCTGATTACAACTTCATTGACGAAAAACAACAATCGTAATAGATTACGTTTTCCACACTTATAATGAATTTTTTCTCCAGACCCCATTCACATGTTCACCGCTGGGTTTAAGTCTCATAGCTACATATCTCATAAAGTAAAAAGGTACCTGAGGCAGTTCATTATATTTCTTCGGTGGCTTAGGAGGTACGTCCATCCTCCTATGAAAAGATTCACTTTGCTTCTGGCGTATCTGGTTGACTAACTCTGCTACTTTAACTTGTCCAATACAAGCAGGAGCGGAGCTATTTGGTGGTTCGTCTTTTAAAAAAGACAGCTCTTTAAGTTGCTGGTCCAAGGACTCCATTGGAAATTGAGTGAAAACTGAAATATTGTCTGTGCTTTTCTTAAACCTGATAAATTTGATTATGTTCATACGAAAACATTATATTAACCGTTCTAACCTCTTAGTTTATTTCGCCAGTTCTTATCACTAATAAGATTAATCACTTTAATTTGGTTTGTTTCAGAACTGGTTTGTTTTTAACTTATTTTAAATGTATGTATTTAGTGCCATTGGATTGATAGACAAGAAGGTTGTAACTAAAGACTTAAGATATCGATATTTGTTTCTTAATAGCAGATCCACACTATTGACTTTCTAGGCTTAGTTCGTGTTTGCAAAGCCTAGCTTCCACTATTCATCAAGAACTTTATAGCCCCTTCCCAAGGAGTCCATCCGTTGGATTTTTTTTGTCAAATGTGAAACTCCAATTCCCACAAAGCACATCCACATCCGCCATCCGATAACAGCTGACTTGAAGAGCAGTTGCTCAACTCAACATAAATGAAGGGGGACTAGAACCTGGAAAAACAGTCTTAAAATTTCGATCTCCTAATTCGATTGTAGAATAATACATTAAATAGAATAAGTAAATTGTTGAAAACATAAAAGCCTGCATTCAAATGGCTGACTGGGGGAGAGCCTAACCTCGCGTACGCCCATATTAATAATAATATTAATATGAAAATTGTAAAAGAAAACACACATTTGGTTTTGTTTCGGTCATTTGAAGCCAAATTGAACTTTTGACTTTTAGCTTTAATTTTGAACCTCACATAGCAACATGTTTGCGAATGCTTTTCCCCACAGAGAATCGGTTAGGCGCGCAGCAGAACGGCACAAACAACTCCCGAAACCAAAGTGAAATATTATGCTATAAGCAAATTGTCCAAGAATGAGAACGAGAGTTTTCGCAAATTATTTCAAATATTTATAACACCTTACTCTATATACTCTTTGACTATATTTTTTTTAAACAAGTTTGGAAATTTGAAGCAAATGTTGCTAAAAGGATATACGCTGGATGTTGGTCATCACCTAAAAGGCATAGCAATATCACTTTCTATATATTATATTCTTATAATATATTTATATTATATTCTTGTATTCTTGGGCCATTGCAGTACAATCGCATTTCCTGCCCAAGCAAGATCGTGAACGCCTAGAAAATCATATGCGTCAAGTTAGCGTCGGTGACTTTAGCGTCGATAGCGGAATGGTGGAATCTGGAACATGGAACCATTTTTTTATTTTTTGATTTTTGGGACTTCTGGGGGCCAAATCGAACAATTTTACAAATGCAAATTTGTTTAGAATGAAATTCTATTTCGATCTAGGTAATTCGCGATTCTGGCCTATGTTCGGAAGTATGAAAAAAATGCATTCAAAAAATCAGGTCCCCACGTTTTGGGGAATATCTCCACTCACTGAGCGTGCTTCACAATGCGCGCTAGCTTAGCTTAAAGGTCGTGCTTTAAAGGACATATAGGAAAATTGCATCAAAAAATTATCGTCAGTTTTTGAGAAAATCTGTTAACAGTGGACCAACCTCTAAATCCGCCCATACAAAAAAAAGATCTTAAAAATTAATTTATCCATAACTTTTTTCACAGAGCGTGATCCACAATTTCGAGACGGGGGGTTAAATAAGCTATGTTCCCTGAAAATTTCATTAAAAAATTATCGTCAGTTTTCGAGAAAATCGCTTAACAGTGTTTGAATTTTAAACGGATATTAGAATACCGCCAACTCCAGTACAAGAACCATGGCCAGCTATGACATGAACCTCAGTATCCGACACTACTACCGACTTACAAATTCAATATCGACGCTAACTCTAATTAATTATTTTGCCTCTCACAGAGCGTGCGTCATGTTGCACGGTATCCCAAAAAATCAGAAATTAAATTAACTAATTATAGTAAAAGTTTCAAACAATTATTATCGTCAGTTTTCGAGATATTTGTCCAACAGTTTAGCGGCATGGGGGAGTGCCCCCAATGGCCATCGGGTGCTTCCTGTTTTCGACTTAAAATGAATTATTTCCCCTTTCACAGAGCGTGCTCCACATTGAACGGCATCCCAGAAAATTGCTAATTACATTAACTAACTACAGTAAAAGTTTCATTAAATTATTACATTGATGTTAAAACCAAATAGAATGAGTAAATTAACGATGTATTAGTACGATCCAATTACGAGGTGTCACCGAAATCCATTTAAAAACAAGAGAGAACGCTATAGTCGGGTTGCTGTCCCGACTATCTAATACCCGTCACACGGCTAAAGTAAGTGCGAGGGAGATGGATATATACCATTTTTTTGATTGCGTATAACTTTTTATTGACCATTCGATTTGAAAAATGTCTTCTACATTTCGATAGGTGTAAGTATACACAACAAAATTCTGTTTTATACTTCTCGGAAATCTTTAAAGGTGTGGGCGCCAGACACATTTTAAAATTGTTAGTGGGCGATTGTGGCGCTCGACTGAAATAAACTTGCGCTGCGTAGGAAGCCCAAGAATATGTGTGGAAAATCTCAACCTTCTAGCTTTTGTAGTTTCCGAGATCTCAGCGTTCATACGGACGGACAGACGGACATGGCTAGATCGACTCGGATAGTGATCCTGATCAAGAATATATACACTTTATGGGGTCGGAAACGTTTCCTTCTCTCTACAAGTAACGGGTATAATTACTAAAAATTTCACATCTACGAGTAACGGGTATAACAAGAAAGAACGGTATAGTCGGATGCCCCGATACTCAGCTAAGAGAGTGCGAGGGAGATGGAGATATAAATCTTTGTATTTTAACTTTGAATTTATTTATCTAATAAGTCACACGCTACAAGCTTCGAACTTATTATTATTTGATCGTGCATAACTTTTGAACGAATGGTCCGATTTGAAAAATTTCGATAGGTATTTAATATAACATAATAATACTGCATTTTTACTTTTCTGAAATCTTTAAATGTGTGGGCGCCAGAAACCTTTTAAAATCGTTTAAGGCGATTGTGGGCGTTAGAGGGGGCATGGCGTTTGGCTGAAATTTCAGCAATTCAATTGCTGAAAAGCCAGAGTTGCCACCTTTTTTAATAAAAGTCATGGCAACTCTGTAACACTTTAGTATCACCAGTACGCATTATTTATTTTAAAATTAACTTAGAAATTATATTTGCGGTTCTTTTTACCTTGGTATTAATTTTAGACAGTAACTAGCAAGATTAAATAAAATTTTACATGTTTTAAGTTCCGTAAAACTTTTCAACAAATAACAGCTGTTTGAAAATTCAACAGGAATCATTTTGGGTCGTTCCCTTAATTGCTGAAATTTTCTATTGAATTTTAAACAATTCAGCAATTCAACAGTTTAGGGATTGATTGTATTATTAATGTTGCTTATATTGTGGTTAAGCGTATTTGTCATCTTTTTGCGATCAGATTGCCACCTAGGTGGGATTTTTTCCCAAAAAATATGGACAAAGAGCAAAATAATTTATTGTTTCACAGAAACGCAGCCCTAAAGGTTGCTACACCCCCAAACTTTAGTTCCGCGGAACTAAATAAATTGGTTTGAATATATGGAGACAAAATAGTGCTAAAATCATTTCGACCACTGTTAAACCATTTCATTACCGCGGATAAAGTCGCGGCGAGAAACCCGAATATCCTAAAGTTAATTTTCTTATTGCAGCTTATTTTCTATTGCAGTAGAACTGTATAATTTTGCATTCTAGATGTTACCTTAAATATATTTGTAGTTTTGGCTGAAACTTTAATAAACCCTCATTTCCACACCATACGGAGGTAGGGGATTCGGAGCGTTTGTTATACCCTTGCAGAGGGTATTATGATTTCTGTCAGAAGTTTGCGACGCAGTAAAGGATTTGTTTCCGACCCCATAAAGTATATATATTCTTGATCAGCATCACAAGACGAGTCGATCTAGCCATGTCCGTCTGTCCGTCTTTCTGTTTCTACGCAAACTAGTCTCTCAGTTTTTGAGCTATCGGGATGAAACTTTCCCAAAAGTCTTCTTGCTATTGCAGGTAGTATATATGTCGGAACCGACCGGATCGGACAACTATATCTTATAGTTCCCATAGGAATAGTACGAAAAAAATTCTAGCTTGGGTGTTTTTTTAAATATTACCTTCCACTCTTGGGAATATTATTTTTGGTAATATTTATGAGTTTCGAATTAAATATTTAAAAAATCGTACGACTATATCAATAGCTGCCATAGAAACGATCCAAAATTTAATTGGTTGGTGTTTTATGTATTCTCTTCTACTCTAGTATTAAACTATTTTTTTATATTTCCGAATTTCGAATTAAGTTTAACAAAAATCGGAATTATATAGCTGCCATAATACGAAATTAAACATTTTTGCGATTTGTAAGTTAATAGGTATGATCTGTTTTTTAATGTGCTAACTCTTGAACAGGCTTGAACTGATGAAAAACAAGAGAGAACGCTATAGTCTGGTTGGTGTCCCGACTATCTAATACCCGTCACTCAGCTAAAGGGAGTGCGAACGCTGTACTCGGGTTGGTGTCCCGACTAATAATCGTAACTCAGCTAAAGGGAGTGCGAGGGAGATAGATATATAAATTTTGATTGCGTATAACTTTTTAATGAATGGTCTTCTACATTTCGATAGGTATAAATATACACAACAAAATTGCATTTATACTTCTCGGAAATCTTTAAAGATGTGGGCGCAGGACCCATTTTAAAATCGTTAGTGGAAGATTGTGGGCGTTAGAGGGGGCGTGGCGCTCGGCTTAAATAAACTTGCGCTGCGTAGGAAGCCAAAGAATATGTGTGGGAAATCTCAACCTTCTAGCTTTTGTAGCTTCTGAGATCTCAGCGTTCATACAGACGGACAGACGGACATGGCTAGATCGACTCGGCTAGTGAACCTGATCAAGAATATATATACTTTATGGGGTCGGAAACGCTTCCTTCTAGCTGTTACATACTTTTGCACGAATCTAGTATACCCTTTTACTCTACGAGTAACGGGTATAAAAACTTGGTAAAATTACCAATATAGTTGTCCAACAGACCCTAACCACAAAAATGTTCAATTCTACCAATTAAATAGTTACTTTCACAACAACAAATACACACAATTAGCAAAGCACCCAAAGCAAAAACAAAATACACGTAAATATTTTTTATAGTTACGTAACTATCCGTATGGGTTAATTTTACCTATCAATTTTTTTGCATATATATAGATATATAGAGTGTTGTACTTGTTGTATCATAATTTATTTATTATAATTTCTGTATTATAATTTCTGTCAGAAGTTCGCAACGCAGTGAAGGAGACGTTTCCGAACACATAAACTATATATATTCTTGATAAGCTCGACTGTCCGTGTCTACGCGAAGTGGCCTCTCAATTTCAAAGCTATCGCTATGAAACTTTCCATGTTGGAAGGAATCGGACAACAATGGAGATCCCCGTGGATTCGCGCATGAAATCAAGGCGATAATTTTCTGATATGCCAGGAATAGCACCGATCCCAATACGCTCAAAACGCATCTCAGATAAGGATCCGTAAGGCTTAGCACTAGAATCTAGGTAAATACCGCTGCGCGCTCTCGAGAAGGCAAATTGAAAGAGTTTAAGCTTTAAACTTTAAGTATTTATTTTAGCTGCAAGGGTAATAAGATTATTTATATGTATGTATGTATGTAGTTTATCCCTCAGAGATCCCTCTAATAGCGGGACTTAATCTACCAATTGAATAAAGTGTTAATGTGTAGAGATTTTTGAAATTAATCCTTACAATCAAAAATGGATGGGATTATTTACGAAATAAAAGTATATCTCCCATTGTTACTACATAAGTACATTTCTGATATTTACTAACCTAGAACAAAACACCATTATGGAAGTAACATTTTTTCGAACTGTAATTTTTTCTGCCCTGTCTCACAGCCAGTCATTTTGCGTGCTTATCGAGCAGCGTTTTGCTTTCAAGCAACTTTTAATTAGAGATTAAAGTTTCTTATCAGGCGTTAACTGCAATTCATGAACGAACATTCATATACTGATCTTTCGTACGTTTGAAATATACCATTAATAAGTATTTTTAACTAAAAATAACGTTATTAAATTTACGCACCCTCTTTTTCTGTTTGTTTGAAGTTTGGGTAAAGTTCTTCCTTCTAGCTCTATCTCGAAATGACGACGCTGTATGTACGGACCAAAAACATATGTTCTTACATATTTATACCTCTATACACTTCCTAACGAAATGGAAAGTCTTTTCTAGTAGGTCTAGAAAGTCTATACGAGAGCGTATTTTTACATGACATGGTTATAGGGCAACCTGAAGCGATTACTTTTTTCGAGTCGCTTAAAAATGGAAATGGCTTCTTCACATTGAAAGGTTTATTATGATAATGCCATACTAGAGGGTAGAAAATCGAAATGAGAATAAATCTGTAACCCCTATTCCATCTATATTTTCTCAAAATAATTGAGAGTAGGTGTAAGTTACTGAGCCGGGGTCGAGTGTGTCGAAGTCCGATTATTATGAGATAATATAAAGTACTCGGCTTCGGCTTAAGCACCCTTCGCTAGTGATAAAGAATTGTTCTGTCGCACAGATCGCTCACTAGCGTGCTCATCTGTTCATTTGTGGGTATGTGTATATTTATTTACAGGGCACACACTTATATGTATATACCTAATTTCTATGTACTACGTGCCGATGTGAGAGTTCTCGATTTATTCGAGGTATTTAAAGTGAGTGTTTTCACATAATCCGGCTTAATTCGTAGTCAGCGGTCATCGTATTCGTATCTGTCCAATTCGCGGTCGGTCTATGTGTTTCTCAATTCAAATCGTATAAACAAAGTGAAATAATATCTGTGCTGTTTAAGGTAAAAATGTATATTTTTGCTTTATAATAAGTAGACTTTCAAATATTTAATACAAATTGTGCTGTTTCATATCCCCAGGCTATCCCTAAGGGGCCCAGCGCGATGGCTAGGATAAAAAACAATTGCGTTTTGATTGGAATCATCCTGACTGTGTTATTAACAATAGCAGCAAATGCCGGTAAGTGCAATAAACTGTTGTTAAAACATTAAATCCTGAGCTCGCAATTTTCATTAGGAAAATATGTAGAACAAGAAAGGAAGTTAACTTCGGCCAGCCGAAGTTTAAATAGCCTTTTTACATTTTCAAAAATCAAAACGCCTACTTTCTACAAAGTTACAATAGTTTTTCTATTATTTTTTGATTATTCCAATGGGAGCCATAAGATATAGTGGTCCGATCCGGCTCGTTCCGACATATGTACTACCTGCAATAGAAAGAAGGCTTTTGGGAAAGTTTCATCGCGATAGCTTTAAAACTGAGGTACTAGTTCGCACAGAAACGGACAGACGGACAGACTGACAGACGGACAGACGGACTCGGCTATTGATGCTGATCAAGAATATATATCAGGGACCGTAAATAATCATTATTTGAGATTTTTATTTTGAAAAGACTACTGTGATATTTTGTTTTAAACGTCAAAAATAACGTTCTTTTTACTCTTGTCCACAAAGTATATGCGTTTTAACAAATCTGGAAAGCAAATTAACTGTTATTTGTTCATGTCTATAAAGTGCATAAAAACCAGTTAAATTGTTGATTAAAACTTGTAAAAACCTCAGTAGGCCTTTTAAAATAAAAATCTCAAATAATGATTATTTACGGTCCCTGATATATATACTTTATGTGGTCGGAAACGTGTCCTTCACTGTGTTGCAAACATCTGACTGAAATCATAAAACCCTCTGCAAGGGTATACAAAAAATATTGCAATAAATGCTGTCTTATTCTCAAATTCAATCTGCTAAATTATTTTGTATCCAAATTTTACAAAAACCACTTGTTTTAACGAGGTTAAGGAGGGATATGGTTTAACATTTGATTGGTTTATATTGTCTTGAAAATGGCCATTTCTGATAAACAATCTTAGCGCCAAAACCGATTGCTGCACCATTTTTTACTCAATTTCTATGCAAAACAAGAGAGAACGCTGTAGTCGATTGCCTCGACTATCAAATACCCGTTACTCATCTAAGTAAATGGGAGAGTCCATCTTTAGGATACCAGCAAAGCGACTGCTTAAAAACGCGCCATCTAGCGGAAAAGCCATTCAAACCAAATGGCTTTACCTTTTACAGAATATGGAAGGGTGTGGGTGCCAGGTTTTTTCAAAAATACTTTAAGGCGATTGTGGGCGTAGAGTGGTAGTTATATTTGGTGAAAAGTATGTAACAGGTAGATGGAAGCATTTGTTAAAGTATATATATTCTGATCAGGACCACTAGCCGAGGTGATCTTGCCATGTCCGTCGGTCCCTGCTAACGCTATGATCTCGGAGACTATAAGTGTTATTTCTTCTGGGCAAGTTTGTTACCATAAAATGTTTGTAAATAAAAATAAAAAAAAAATTTAATATTTTATTAAATTAAAATCTGGTAGACTAATTTAATTTAATCAACAGCTAAAGCATAACTTTCGCTTAAATAATTGTTATTGGTTAACACTAAACTAATAACATGAATAAAGTTTTAGCAAATTGTAATGCGTTGGCCTGTGTAATTTGTATCGTTTTTATACCCGTTACTCGTAGAGTAAAAGGGTATATTGTATTCGTGCAAAAGTATTTAACAGGTAGAAGAAAGCGTTTCCGACCCTATAAAGTATATATATTCTTGATCAGGGTCACTAGCCGAGTCGATCTATCCATGTCCGTCTGTCTGTCTGTCCGTATGAACGCAGAGATCTCGGAAACTACAAAAGCTAGAAAGTTGGGATTATCCACACATATTCTTGGGCTTCCTCTAACGCCTAAAATCGCACACTAACGATTCTATAATGTGTATTTGTGTTGTGTATATTTATACCTATCAAAATGTAGAAGACATTTTCACCATTCATTAAAAAGTTATGCGTAATTAAAATTTTATATATCCATCTCCCTCGCACTCCATTTAGCTGAGTGACGGGTATTAGATAATCGGGATACTCACCCGACTACAGCGCTCTATGGGGCATTCGGCCAGTTTTTATACCCGTTACTCGTAGAGTAAAAGGGTATACTAGATTCGTGCAAAAGTATGTAACAGCTAGAAGGAAGCGTTTCCGACCCCATAAAGTATATATATTCTTGATTAGGGTCACTAGCCGAGTCGATCTAGCCATGTCCGTCTGTCCGTCTGTCCGTCTGTCTGTCTGTCTGTCTGTCTGTCTGTCCGTCTGTCCGTCTGTATGAACGCTGAGATCTCAGAAACTACAAAAGCTAGAAGGTTGAGATTTCCCACACATATTCTTTGGCTTCTTTCGCAGCGCAAGTTTATTTTAGCCGAGCGCCACGCCCCCCCTAACGCCCACAATCGCCTACTAACGATTTTAAAATGGGTCCTGCGCCCACATCTTTAAAGATTTCCGAGAAGTATAAATGCATTTTTGTTGTGTATATTTATACCTATCGAAATGTAGAAGACATTTTTCAAATCGGACCATTCATTAAAAAGTTATACGCAATCAAAAATTATATATCTATCTCCCTCGCACTCCCTTTAGCTGAGTTACCATTATTAGTCGGGACACCAACCCGCGTTCGCACTCCCTTTAGCTGAGTGACGGGTATTAGATAGTCGGGACAACAACCCGACTATAGCGTTCTCTCTTGTTTTTTGTGCATTAATGTGTTTTTTACAAGTATTCAAATTTTTAAAACATTATTGAACACGTATTAAGAATAGATCAAAATGAAATGTTAAGTTAACAGTCCAATGTTAAAATAACAGCTGTTAAAGTCAGGCGCAGCAAGCGAACACAGAGTGTTCATACTTTGCTTGATTTTGCAGTGCATATGTAAATTAATATCTCTTCAACGACAAGACGTAGAACCATAAAACTTGAAATGGATATTCATTAAAACTGTCCTTACTTTGTGTTAATACTACTGTGATGCTTATTTCGTGAGTGTATTTGTAGCAATGGCTTCATATACCAAGTAGTCTCTCTTAATACGTTTGGAAAAAGAAAGTTCCACTTTGAATAGAGATTAGTAAAAATGTTGAAATTTGTTGAGCCTGAGGGTTGAATCATTTTAAAGAGGGGTAAATTCTCGATTTGGGACATCCAGTCTTAATGTGCACTTTTTGCGACTTTAAGAGAAATTCAATTTTTACGGCACTGCCAAAAATGGTCAAATTAACACTTTATTTGTCTTCTTCTTGTTTTGTAAGATGAAATGTTAAATAAATTTAATGCAAAAGTGTTCGCCATAACATTACATTTGATTTAAAAACATTCCGCGTCTTATTTTCATGAAAATATTTGTTTATACGGCATATCCAGTATTTGGCATACAAAAATGTCGGATTTTACAGGAAAAAGTCAATATCTCTTCAAAGAAGAAAGTTTTCAAAAAAATGTTTTTTTGTTTGTTTTAATATGTTTCTTTATTATTAGAAACCATAAACCATAGGTTTAAGAAAAATTTTTTTTTTTGAATAAATTTATTATAGTGTTTAATTTTTGCTCAAAAAGATGTATTTAATTATTATAAACATATTTCAAAAAACCAAACTCAAAAAAGTTGCTTTGTTTTGGAATTAATATTTAATGCCAAAAAACAGGTCAAATGCCATATAGTGCAGCGTTCTCTCTTATTACCGTTACTCGTAGAGTAAAAGGGTATATTGTATTCGTGCAAAAGTATGTAACAGGGAGAAGGAAGCATTTCCGACCCTATAAAGTATATATATTCTTGATCAGGGTCACTAGCCGAGTCGATATAGCCATGTCCGTCTGTCCGTCCGTCTGTCCGTCTGTATGAACGCTGAGATCTCGGAAACTACAAAAGCTAGAAGGTTGAGATTTTCCACACATATTCTTGGGCTTCCTACGCAGCGCAAGTTTATTTCAGTCGAGCTCCACGCCCCCTCTAACGCCCACAATTGACCACTAACAATATTAAAATGTATTTGGCGCCCACAGCTTTAAAGATTTCCGAGAAGTATAAAACACAATTTTTGTTGAGTATACTTATACCTATCGAAATGTTGAGGACATTTTTCAAATCGAACCATTCAATAAAAAGTTATACACAATAAAAAAATGGTATATATCCATCTCCCTCGCACTCCCTTTAGCCGAATGACGGATATTAGATAGTCGGGACAACAACCCGACTATAGCGTTCTCTCTTGTTTTTAAATGGATTTCGGTGACACCTCGTAATTGGATCGTACTAATACATCGTTAATTCACTCATTCTTTTTGGTTTTAACATCAATTGTTGGTTGTTATTGGCAAATTTTGACAAAATTTACTTTGGCACGATAAAGGTAAATTTATACGGCTTTGAATTAATTAAAAACAGAATTAAATACAACATAGGGGAGATGTCTGTAGGTTGGTACACCTTTTGTTTTTTATCTGCCATTTCGACATTCGCTTATGAAACTTCACGCAGTAGGTATCAATCAAAAGATTAGTCTTTAATAAAAAAAAAATGGTTTACTCGTCCTTATGTTAGCGCAGGTAGGGACAAATTTTGTCTCGGTACTTCATCCAACGAGCAAAATTTGTGCGGTTGGATTGTGCGCAAGTGTTGCCAGACATTTGAGCGTTGTCAATCTGGTTCCACTCTTCATTCGAAAACAGGGTATTCTATTTACAGTTAAATACAAATCAAAATTGTTAATGTCATCCAATTGATTTTAAAATGAATTCCCGAGCGATTTATCTTCAAACTCGGTGGGATATCGTCGAATAGTCTGAAGTGCGAACCTATCGGCGCAGATATCACGACCAAAGAAATTACTTCGAACATTACAGTAATGAAGAATTTTTTAAAAGGGTTCTCTTAAGAAAAAGCGGTAAAATTTGTTTTACAAAAAAATGTTTTGCGACTTGAATTTAAAGTAAAGCAGTAAGTGCATTCATTTGATTTAACTAATTCCATATAATCACAAACCATTATTATCGGGAAACGATAATACATGGGTTAAGCTTCTAATAGCTCTTAGATTCTACGCAAGCGGCAGTTTTCTTATAACTGTAGGCAATTTTTGTGGTGTTAGCGTGGCCACTGCCAGTCGAGTTGTTAAGGGCGTTAATTTTGCTATAGCGTCTTTTTCAAAACAATTTATGAAGTACCGGCGTATTAAAGATCTTCAAGAAAATGTTGTTGATTTTTATAAAATAGCCAAGTTTCCGAAAGTCCAAGATAGGAGCCATAGATTGCACGCATGTAAGAATTCAATCTCCCGGAGGCGATTCCGAAGACACCAGTTCTACAAGAATTGTGTCGTGTTCATCGGTATAATTTTTACCGCGAAACTTTCTTTCTGCCGACATTGTTTTTTATTAGTTTGAAATTTTGTTTATATCATCAGCTGTTAGTATGACTGTTTTATGGTATTTTTCGATAGTTTTTCGATTAATTTTTGACAATTAGTTAACTCTTCTATTGTGGGCCTGCCACCCAGTCTCAAATTAGTGCGCCTTTAATTTGGAGTTTTAAATGACGGACGAGAAAACGAAAACTGATTTGCCACCGGGATAAATTTATCCTTCTATTAGCTAAATTTTACTTTGCAGGACGGACGAGAAAACGGCCCTTAAGGTGACTTTTATACTTTTTAAGAACTAGTATCCGTATAAACAAACCGCAAAAAATGTTGGTACTTGCCGTATTAACTGAAACAAACTAGCGCTGCGTAGGAAGCCCAAATATATATATGGCTAATCCCAACTTTCTAGTTATTGTAGAGCGTGACGCTTGGCTGAAACAAACTTGCGCTGTGTAGGAAGCCCTAGTATAAGTGTGGTTAATTCCAAAGGCCTATATATTGTACTAGCAGGGTCTGGAGGCCGCAGCTTCGCCTGAGGAAATTAAAATTGAAAATTAAGCATTGCTTTATCTTTGGTACTTATTTTAAATTTAAAAAATTTCTAATTTTTATTCTATAAACCGAGAAAAGATTTTATCAGAACTTTTTCCCTTGATATCCGTAAAAATAAAAATATTTTGTCCTTTGAAAACTACTTAAAAAAACATGTGTCTTTTTTAAATCTTTTTAAAATTATTATGGATTGTTTGCATAAGTTAACAGATGGACAAAACAGAAACAAACAGATTCCTTTTTCGACACAAATCCTTACACTTATTTCATTCAAAACATTAGTATTTTGTCCAAAACATATTATTTATATATAGAATGTCATACTGCGTTGAGCATGTAATTAAATTCCCAATCCATTGCCATTAAAGCCTACACACAAAAAAATTTGATTGGTAAAATTGACCAACAAAGATAGTTACGTAACTATTAAAATTGTTACGTGTATTTTGTTTTTGCTTTGGGTTTGTGTCTTTGCTAATTGTGTGTATTTTGTTGTTGTGAAATGACTATTTACTTAGTAGAATTGACAATTTTGCTGGTTGGGGCCTGTTTGACAATTATTACAGTTGATTTTACCAAGTTTTTTTTTTGTGTGTAGAAACATTATTTGAAAAAAATTTCTTTAAGAAAAAAATAGATAGGATACGAATTTGATTAAATTTACATGTTAAAAATATTAAACTCTTTTTCAATTTTGGAGAGTTTTGACTATTGCTGTCCCGCTCTTACCCAGATAAATTTATGCATTTTTTTGTATGAATTAAGAGTGCAAAAATATGAATTTCAAAGCAGTACTTTATCGAAAACAAAGCAAAAAACTGCCAAAATATGGATTATCACGCCGCTTAAGTATGTAATTAATTTCCAAATCGATTAGCGTTTAACTCTGGAAAAAAACTTGTATTCTTAAAAAAAATTGCTAAAAGTTTTACATAGCTCTCCAACAACCAATATAATAATTGTGATTAAGATTTTAAAAATTTGAGGGAATATTTTTAATTTAAGTTCGCCTTGAAATGTTACAACCGCTTCAAAATGTGTTTACCCTTCGACAGTTAAAAAAAATTAATGTCTCCAATTCTTATTTTAAAAAAATGAATGCCAGAGATAGGATAATTTTAGGCTTATTTTTATTTCATCGGTCCCTTAAAACAAATCCTGTTGATATTGGCCTTGCTACCTCGTTCTACAATTTCTATTTCTATTTTCTATTTCTATTTTTGGTTTTTTAAAGATGCAATTTTTAAACTATTTATTTAAACTATTACAAACCAAATACTCTTGGCGAATTTGCTACCGGGGGGTTTTTGGAAGGTATCCACAGTAGACAACTATTATAAGGGAAACAAATATGCGGAGCAATGTTTTGCTTTATGTATTTGACTAATTTAAGAAAAGACATCAAGAAAGGCAATTCCAAATTACTGCATTTTATCATTGATATTTTGTTTCAGTATTTTTGTTTTCACATTAATTTTTCACCTTGATTAGAATTATATTAATAATAGGGAAGGCAGGTGGGCGGGGAAGCCGTGAATCAAATTGTTTAAACATTTGAATTTGTTTAAACAATATGAGCACGTGTAATAAAGAGCAAGAGAATCAATTGGTTTGAATATTTAATGTTCTTTTAATATTATCAATGCGATTTGAATTTTAGTTCACAAAAATCGGTTACAAAATGTCTTATGTAAGTATGTTGTGGAAATGTAAATGAAATATTCTTTTAGCAAAAGGATATCAGTATTATCTTGAATTTGAATTTGAGCGAATCTCAATTCCTTAGTCAGCTGCAATGCACACACACAAACGTACACACGCATATACATATGTATCTAATGGCTGTGTGTGTAAAATACGCATTTTTTTGATATATTTATTTTGTGCGTGTGTGTGTACATAGCAGAGCAAATCATTGTTTGTTTTTGTTTTTTACAAATCCAAAGTTTGTCGATAACTCAACATTTGAAAACTAATAAATAGTTTGCTGATCGGTCTTTTGCATTTAAAAAAACAGAAGCAATTTTAAGGAAAATTTCGACTGTAAAATTCAGCTTAATGGGATTTCTGTAAGGTCTACCGATATTTTAAAATTTAACGTTTACTTAAGAAAAAGGCGCAAAAGAAAAGATTTGCGATATAATCGATTTTTTTTTGGCTGTGGTATTTTCATTTTCCCCTTGCGCGGTCACACTTAAATTGCGACAGCAGGACATACATATGTACATACATACATGCGCCAGCAGAACATACATACAAACATATGGGGACGCGTGACGTCACATCAGGTTAGCCAAATTTGAAAATATTGGGGACTTGGTTAAGGATGCTGAATCTCCAAGAAATTTAAATGCAGTTATTTGCGGGTATGCCATAAGATTATGAACATCACATTTTTAAACCATTTTAACAACATTTATAACAGAGAAATGGCAAAAGAAAGAATTTAAAAAAAAACAAATCGAATTTTGGGGCACTTTGGGGTCGTTTTTTGTTCTAAAAAGTACCCCTTACGCGGCTCCTAATTATTTTAGTAATTACTGTGATTTTTCTAGATTTTTAGGTCAATCCGTTCTGGGTGGAATTTGCTACTGACCGTTTTTTAATCATGACAAATATTGATATAGATAGATAGATTTTTCGAGATCGACTCGGCTAGTGATCCTGATCAAGATTACATAGGGAAGAGGTCTGTAGGTTGAGACGGTATGTAAGTTGAGACACTCAATTTTCTCAAAACTTATCCACTAATCCTTTTTAGTGACAAAACTTTTGGGGAAAACATTATAAGCCAGGCTCTAGCCAGATTAAAGCTGTGAGAGCCGTGTACCATTTTTCACCAAAAAAGTTTTTGTCTACATTTTTCAAAATTCCATTTAAAATTAATAACGTCCTTAAATTAACTTGGTAAGAGATTTAAAACATTAGTATATTAACTGTTAACTAATTAAAAAAGAATCAGAACAAAAGTTATTAATTTTTTCCCGAAACATCCCATTTTGTGTAAGTTGAGACACTTTGAGCGTGTAAGTTGAGACACCCGTTACACGCCTTAGGCCAACAGAGGTCGCTTTCTGCCTAGTACATTTCTTTGATATTAGGGGAAAAGTGAATGTTCAAAGAGCCTTTTGATTTTAATTGTTATTTGGTCTAAGTTCTTAAAAAATGGATGGGAAATAATTTAGGACGAACTAAAATTGATTAAATTAACATAAATAAATAGTTCCTTATAGTTTGGAGTACTTTTTGTGTGAGTATTATTGACTTTTAAAAGTGTCTCAACTTACAGATCTCTTTTTCAAAATGTCGTTTTTTGGGACTTTTCAAATTAAGCTAATAGACTAACCTTTCGATCAGTACCAAATGCGTAAAGTTTCATAAGTGAATGTCGAAATGGCAGATTAAAAACAAAAGGTGTACCAACCTACAGACCTCTCCCCTATACTTTATTGGGTCGAAAACGCTTCCTTCCCGTATTGCATATTTTCCGACGAATACAATATACCCCTATACTCTACGAGTAACGGGTATACAAATAATTTTACATTTTATTTCTTACTTGGCACAAATTTATAAAGCACTGACTTAATTTTATTGTTTTTTTCTAATTATAGAAAACACTTGCAATCTAGGATGTCCAAAATGTGAGTCACGTGAATTTAAAATATATTTATTGGGATACTAAAAAGTGTTACTTTTTCTTAGCGGACGATGGACTATTGAAATACACACCTGGCAATTTCTATGACTACTCCTTCGACAGTATTTTAACAATTGGACTGAGTAGCGGGGTTTTTAGCGAATCCGATGACACCAGTCTCAAAGTGTCCGGGTCAGCGAAAATTTTTTCGAAAGGAAACTGTGGGTATACGCTACAGCTCAGTGCTGTGAAGGTGTCCAACACGAAAGAGTCCGTGGAGAAGAAAATTTTGAACAGCATTCAGAAGCCAGTGCAGTTTACACTGGTCAGTGGACTTCTGGAGCCGCAAATTTGCTCCGACTCCAGCGATTTGGACTACTCGCTGAATATTAAGCGTGCAGTTATTTCATTGCTGCAATCGGGAACAAAGGCGGAACATGAGGTTGACGTATTTGGCCAGTGTCCCACACATACTTCAACATCCAAATTAGGTAACGCGAATATAATTACAAAGGTTCGCAACTTAAACAGCTGTGCACACAGGGAGCAAATAAACAGCGGTCTGGTGTCCGGAAAAGTGAACGAAAAAGCTGGGATTACGTCCAGTCTGCTGTTACAGGCGAATTATATAAAAGAGTCAAAGATTGTGAACAGTCTAATTGAAAACGTTCAGCTGACGGAAACATACAAGTTTATTGGGACCACTAAGGGAAATTCCGAAATCAGTGCAAAGGTAGTAACAACACTAAAACTTAAAAATCCTACCGGGGCCAAAGCAAACTCACCAGCTACAGGATCCACTGTCAGAAGCGTGATTTTCCAGAGACCAGAAACCTACACATCCAAAAATATAAACGCTTTGAAAACGGCACTATCAGACCTTGTGGACTCAACAGGCGATTATGTAAAAAAGGAAAGCGGAAAGAAGTTCGTTGAGTTTATTAGGTTGCTCCGTCAATCCGATAGTGAGACTTTATTAGAACTGGCTGCATATCCCCATCCGAATAAGGTCCTGGCCCGCAAAGTGTACTTGGATGGCTTGTTCCGCACGAACACCGCAGAATCAGCTAGAGTTGTACTAAAGCAGCTGGCTAAATTTGATGATAAGGAGAAGTTACTAGCCGTACTGTCGCTAAACTTGGTGAAAAGCGTGGACAAGGAAACACTTAATCAAGCGGCTGCTCAGCTTGTATTGAACGCGCCCAAGGAATTATATCTAGCTGTCGGTAACTTGGTTGCTAAATTTTGTTCAGGAAAAAATTGCCAAGGACCTGAAATCGAAGCCATATCTAAAAAGTTTTCGGATGGCCTGAAGCACTGTAAGCCAAATACCAAAAAGGAAGAAGAACGCATCGTGTATATTCTTAAGGGAATAGGAAATGCTAAGAGCCTAGGTGGCAACACGGCGGCTGTCCTTAGTGAGTGCGTCTCCACAGGCCGGTCTAATCGGATACGTGTAGCAGCATTGCAGGCATTTTCAACCATTGAATGCAATGGGTCGCTACAAACCAAGTCGTTGGAATTACTCAAGAACCGCAACGAGGATTCTGAGTTGCGCATCGAAGCCTATTTGTCCGCGATTTCATGTCCCAACGCAGAAGTGGCTAATCAAGTTTCTGATATAGTCAACTCCGAAACGGTTAACCAGGTCGGTGGCTTCATTTCGTCTAATTTAAAGGCCATTCGCGACTCGACAGATGCCAGCCGAGAGCAGCAAAGGTACCATTTGGGAAACATTAGAGTGACTAAGAAATTCCCTGCGGACTACAGGCGATATAGTTTCAACAATGAGGTTTCATACAAACTGGAATCCCTTGGCGTTGGAGCCAGCTCTGATTACCAATTAATATATTCGCAACATGGATTCTTGCCCCGGTCATCTCGTATCAATATAACAACTGAAATTTTTGGAACTAACTTCAACATATTCGAAGCAAGCGTACGACAAGAAAATCTTGAGGATGTGTTGGAATACTATCTCGGACCAAAAGGGTTGTTAAACAAAGATTTTGATGAAATTGTCAAGATCATTGAAGTTGGAAACAGCGCAGCTGCTGGAGCTGGTGGTCGGGCCCGACGCTCAATAGCCGAAGATGTTGCTAAGACATCGAAGAAATATAAAACCTATGGTAGCAAAAATGTGCAAGATCTCAATTTAGATATATCATTGAAGCTCTTTGGCTCGGAATTGGCATTTTTAAGCCTTGGTGACAACATACCAAGTACACTGGATGATATCATAAATTACTTCTCAGCTTCGTTTGAAAAAGCAAAACAGGAATTATCTTCGTTTGAAAAGCAACTCAGCAGTCATCACCTATTCCTCGATACAGACTTTGCCTATCCAACTAGTATTGGAGTACCTCTGGAACTCGTGGCTCAAGGCTTTGCAGCTACCAAGATTGATCTTGCTGTTAACCTTGATATCAATGCAATTCTTGAACAGAACTGGCAGAAGGCCAAGTATAGGTTAAAGGTGGTTCCAAGTGTTGATGTTAATGTCAACCTTCAAGTGGGCTTCAATGCCCAAGTACTGTCCACCGGCCTCCGTGTGGTATCATCTGCGCATTCCGCGACTGGAAACGATGTAACCGTAGCGGTTATCAAGGATGGGGAAGGCTTTAATCTCGACGTCGAACTGCCACGTGAAAAACTTGAGCTTATTGATATTAAAATTGACACAGAACTTTATGTAGCCGAGCAGGACAAACAAAAAGCAGTTGCTCTTAAAGGAAGCAAGAAGAATAAGAATTCTCAGCCCAGTGAGATATGTTTTAACCAATTGGAAGTCGTTGGCCTAAACATTTGCATTGAGAGTTCAACGAGCTTGAGTGATCTTCAAGTTGGCAACGGTAATGATGCAGAGAGGGGACTTGCTATTTCGGACCAATTTCATTTATCTAAACCATTCAGCTTGGCCATTTACATGACTGCTGAACGCAAATTTACCTTCAAAGGAGTTCACACAAATGAGCCTGCCGGCCAGAAGTGGAAGCTAGATTATTCCACTCCTGGATCCAAAGTTTCTCATGACACAAGTGTTGTTTTCGAGCTTGGATCAAAGCCTAGGACTTATGGTAGATTATCCTTCGATAATTCCCAATACCACTTTGGAGTTGAAGCTGGTGTAAACAATGACAATAGCGAATTGGTGTTATATGGTCAGTACGAACAAGATAGGGACATAAAGAAAAGTAAGATCGGCCTTAGCAAGCACGGAAATGAATATAAGCCTTTGATTGAAATTCAAGACAATAATGGTATCTCAAACAGCATAAACGGGTATCGCGCAGATGGTAAAATTGTTGTTAAGAAAACCAGTGATAGGCTAACAAGATATAATTTTGAAAACTTCCAAGTGTCGAATGCGAACAACGCCCGTATAATTGTAAATGGATGGACTGATGTTGGACAAAGTTCATTGAACTCTGAACTTCGTATCGCTTCAGACCAGCAGTCATTCTTGATCAAGGGAAATTTCGAACTGGAGAACGGTCAGTATGCAGCAGGTTTCTTTATAAACGATGAGCGAACACCCGAAAGTGTGTATGGAAGCTCTGTACACTTGACAATAGCTGATCAGTCGTATGCCCTTAAGGCTAATGGCAAAGCTGCGAGTTGGTCCATTGATAGCGATGTTGGTTTTAAGTTCCAAAGAGACAGTGATTCCAATTCTTTACGTTCAGGTTCACTTGTGCAAAATGTGGAAGTCCAGCATAAAAATAAGCGAGTGGGAGCAGTTAAGGTAAAGTCCACTTTTGACGTAAATAAATTGGATCTCGACGTGGAAATTTTACGTGAGCAAAAAATCGGTTCTCTTGACGTCAAATACAAGAGCAATCAGCGACACGTGCAAGACTATTCCCTGGAGGCCAGTGCAAAACTCAACAAATACTCTATCGATGTTGTATCCAAATGCGATTTTAACGGAAACACTTATGTTGTCGACAACACTATTACAACTAGTTGGGGAACTGTGCTATCTGCGAAGGGTGAATTAGGCCAACGATACACTGCCCAAGACATCAAAGTTGACCTTCAGGGCAGTGTTCAAGTAAGTGATAAAGACAAATCTACCCAATGGACACTCAAAGTAGTAGGCACCCCTGACAAAACCAGCAGTGACTTCAGGATTAGCCGAGATTCCGCGGAGCTTGTCAAATTAACTGGTGAGTCTCAGCATCCACAAGACAAAATATCCGCGGCAAAGCTTAATCTTATTGTTAAGAATCAATTAACTGCTAAAGGCGAGTTCCGCGTAGCGAAAAATGGCAAGGGTGACTTGACGGCCACATTTGAAACTCTAAAGACTGAACCGAAGCATAAACTAGAAGTTGAATCCAAATTTCACATTCAAGCTCCCAAATACGATATTGATACGAGCATAACGCTAGATGGAGAAAAGAAATTGCACTTTAAGTCTGAAAACACCATAGATAAGTTAAAGTTTTCTACTAAAAATATTGGCGAGTCAAACGACAAAAAAATTGCTTTCGATGCCAGTGGAAGTGTTAAAGGAGAATTGCGATCAAATGGCGAAATACAAGGAACTTTTGCATTTACCACTCCCGATGGGCGAGTCATAGACGGTAGTGTCAATCGTAAGTCTTCAACAAATGCCAAAACTGGTGTGGTTCAAGGCAACATGGATGCTCATATTAGTGATACACCATCTGGCAGTAACAAAAAAAGATCAATTACACTAAAGGGAAAACTGGACCGGCTTAATCCTAAAACAAAGGAATTTTCCGCAAGTAATTCGTTAGTATACACGGCATTGGATGGAGAGAAGTCTGAGCTAAGCTTCCAAATTAAGCAGCAACTTAACGGCGAAGCTAAAAACTTGGATATTAACCTTAGAGCCAACGGAAATCCACTTCCTCAACCCATTGAGGCTGCAGTTGTCTTAGGCGAGTACAGTGCTCAGCACGCTTTGGTTAGCATCACTACTAAATATGGGGAGCTCTTCTCAATTAGTGCAAATGGAAAGTACGATAACAAGCAAAACAATTTACCAGCTGCATATGAGTTCCAAGCTAACGTCGAAATCCCAAAATCCAGCTTAAAGTCCGTGGAAATTAAAAGTCATGGAAGCCTGTTAAAACCATCTACGGGTGATAGCAACGGTGCCTACAAAATTGAGTTTTTCTTGGATTCAAAAACCGGCCAGGGACAATATGCTCGTGTCAACACACTATGGAACGGTACGCCTAATGATGGAAAATATGATTTTGAAGCCCAAACCAATAACATGGAGTCTCCATTGAAATTCAGTGGCAACTACCAGCGGGAGCAAACAGGCAGCTTAAAAGATGGTGACCTTAACGGCAAGCAAAAGTACATATTTAATGCACAGTATGGAAAGCAATACGTAAAGACGGACGCATCTCTCTCTTTTGGGGCCGAGAAAGTAGATATAATATATGTGCTTGATTCCAGCTTCGAATCTGCAAAGGACATCAACGTTAATATCCGCACTCTTAAGTCTGTTGACGACTCGACGTATGAAGTCAGTGTACAAGCCAAACAGGCTGATAAGTCATACGGTTTGGACACAAAATTGTATCGGGCGACCCATAAGAAAGGTGTAGATATTCGTTTGAATTTGTTAAAGGAAAAACCTATTATAATCACGAGTATTGCCGAAGTGTTGGGAGAGCGAAAGGGAAAGGTTACCTTTGAAGTAGAAAACTTGGCTGAATTGGACATAAAATTAAGCAGCGAAGCTTCGTACGTCAGCATTGACGATTTCTATCTTGTTGGCAGTTGGAGCTCGAAGAAATTAAAACTTGATGGTTACGAACTTGAAGCACGCGCTCAGGGTAAGAATATTAAAGTGCAACTTAAGAACGTGAGTGGCGTAATATTCCTAGGAACAGCCACATATGCTCTTAAAAAGGAACAAAATAAGGCTATTATTGATGGTCAAGGCCAAGTGCAGTATCAAGGAAAATCACATAGTGGTAGTTTTAAGTTGACCCGCCAGCACTTTGATGTTAACACGGATAAGGAGGTTGGTTTCTCGTACACGTTCAATGGTAATTTTGGAAACAAAAACGGCCTATCCACAATTAAGATTACAAACAAGGAATTCAACACGAAGTTCTCCATTTGCGAAGAAAAGAGACAATGCACAAACATTCAAGTGCAATCACTTGTAAGCATAGATGATCAAAAACTGGATGGCGTGGAACACTCCACCCTAATCCTGGTTGATCTCCGTGAGCTTGGATATCCATACGAGTTTGAGTTAAAGTCCCAGAATACACGCCAAGGATTTAAGTACCAATACCATCTAGATAGTTTTATTATAACCGGAAATAACTTGAAGTACCAACTAACAGCAAACGTTCAGCCCACGTCATCCACTGTTAAACTAACTCTTCCAAAACGTCAAGTTTTGTTCGAAACCGCGCAGAAAATACCGACGGATGGAAATATTTTTGGCCATTATGAGCAATCGGCTTCATTCTTTATTGACAAGCTGCAAAGACCCGACGATGTGGTCCGTGTTTCTGCTATTCTTGACGTTTCGGGCAAAGAACGCGTTGCCCTAAACGCCAATGGTGAAATTAAGCTTGAGCACCCAACTATTCGCCCATTGAGTATTTCGGGAAGGCTTAATGGTAATGTAGATCAACAAGTCGCAAGTGCTGAAGTAGTATTTGATATTTTCCGAATTCCGGAACAAAAGGTTATTGGAAGCAGCGAATTGCGTAATTCGCGTTCCAGCAATGGCTTCAACATTGCGTCTACTACAACTGTCAAGTCTGCTGGACTTAAGTTCCAGTACCAAATAAACACCAACGCGGCAGTTGATACTGAGGCCCAGGAGTACAATTTTGGCCTGGAACTCAATAATAACGGAGACATCAATGTTAAGGCGATATCGGTTTTGAATAAGGAAAAGTTGGAAATCTCTTTAAGCGAATCAAATAAGCAGATAATTCAAATAGTTGGCGACATTAATAGGCAAAAACGAGTTGCAAAATTTACAACGAAGGTCCAAGTTCTTGATAAAACTCCAATTGAAATTGCCAGCGAGATACAACCTACTTTTGCTAAGATTTCACTAAAGCGTCAGGATTTCATTGACGGCAATGCAGAAATCAAATTGGGCAAGGAATTCAAATTTGATGTTTCTGGTAGCGGCAAACCATTATTCAACGGGCGTGTGGCTTTGGATGCAACCAACTTTTTGCAAACTAACTATGTTTTTAATGACGACGAGGTTAATGCCTTCTTGGTAAGAATAAATAAATTAAATCCCTTTTTTTAACTAATGTTATATTTATTTATTTTACCAGCTTAACGCTGAAACCGAAGTTAATAAAGATTCGGAATATATTGCTAAGAACATCAAAGAGCGTTTCGAAAAACTACGGCAAGCCACTGATAAAAATGTTAAATTGGCAAAGGAAGCTACTCCTGATTTCTCGAAACTGAAGGGTCAATTGGTAGAAAATTCAAAGGGTCTCATTCAAGAGCTTGAGGCAGATCCATCAATCGCACCGATTATTGATGGCATGTAAGTAATTTAATAAATTGAATCCTAATATATAAATCATGACTTTTTCTCTTACATTTTTTCTAGACGTACCGCATTTGAAAAAATAACCGGAATAATTGATGATTTAAGCAAGGCAATATCGGAAACCTTTGAAAAGATTCAAAAGTCGTTTGTTGAAATTTATGATAAGCTGCAAGCTCTTTGGAAGGACTCGCTCCTCAAAGCGTGGGAAGATTTTGTTTTGACTGCAAACAAACTAATTGGTACTCTGCGTAATGAATTAATCAAGGCTTACACAAAGACAGTTAAAAATCTTCTTTCTGCGCTGGAGAAGTATGGACCGGCACTGAAAAACTATGGAAAAGCTGTCGCTGAAACTTTGAAACCAATCAATGATGCGGTTCAAGAAGTAGTTAAAGTTGTGGTTCACGCGGTTGAAGGTATAGTCGAAGAACTTAAACAGTATGCCGCGAGCCTTCCATCATTTGAGAGTATTCGTAATGAAGTTAATGACAAAGTTAAAACCCTTAAACTCATTGAAAAGGCTACAGAGTTTGTGAACAGTCTTTTTGATCAGTTGAGCATTCTACCGCAAACTCCAGAGACTACTGAGTTCCTTCAAAAACTGCACGATTACTTAAGCGCAAAATTAAAGCAACAACCAATTAATGACGAAAAGTCTCTTGAAGAACTCGGTAAGCTTTTAATTAAGGCCGCACGCTCCATTTGGGTCTCGATTAAGACCTCTGCTCCAGGGTCATCTGCCCATGCAATTGATTTCCAAACATGGTTCGGTTCTCTGACGCATTCCTTGGATTCCCTTGCTGTTCTTCCAACCATTCTTTCATTCCGATCCAGTACTTTAAATTATCTGCTAAATGAAAATTGGGACACTGTATTTAACAAAAATATACTAAAGTCATGGATATTCTTTAATGACTTTGAGCTTCGAGGTCATGTCGTCGATGGGCAGCACATCTTCACTTTCGACGGTCAGAATTTCGCATATCCTGGAAATTGCAAGTACATCCTAGCCCAAGACAGCGTGGACAATAACTTCACAATAATCGGTCAACTTGCAAATGGAAAGCTAAAGGCCATCACGCTTGTCGATCGGGATGGTAACTATGCCGAAGTAGCCGACAATGTGGCCCTGAAGATAAACGGAAACCCAGTTGAGTATCCTCAGCAATTATCTGGTCTTCATGCATGGCGCCGATTCTACACCGTTCACCTGCACTCTGAGTACGGAGTTAGTGTAGTGTGCACCACGGATCTGAAGGTCTGTCACTTCAACATTAATGGATTCTATACAAGTAAGACGCGGGGACTTCTCGGAAACGGCAACGCAGAGCCATACGATGACTTCTTGCGAATCGATGGCACGATTGCCGCAGACTCTGCCGCCCTGGGCAACGATTACGGAGTTGGGAAGTGTGCAGCGGTTGCGTTTGACAATGACCAAGTCAGTAGCCCGAAAAGAGAGGACATCTGTAGTGAGATATTCGGAATCGAATCACTCCTTGCCTTCCATTTCCCTACGGTTGACTCCAGACCTTACCGCCAGGCGTGTGACATTGCCCTTGCCAAAACAGCTGAAAAGGACAGGGAGGCTACTGCGTGTACGTTTGCGCTGGCCTACGGTTCTGCTGTCAAGCAGCTCCACAGGTGGGTACTGCTGCCACCGCGCTGCATCAAGTGCGTTGGACCAGTAGGACAACGCGATCTTGGAGATGAGTTTACTGTCAAGCTGCCAAACAACAAGGCGGACGTTGTGTTTGTCGTTGATATCAATGTGACGCCCGTGGTCCTGTCCAACCTAATAGCGCCTGCCATCAATGACATTCGCGAGTCGCTTAGGAGCCGTGGTTTCACAGATGTCCAAGTCGGTGTTGTTGTATTTGACGAGTCGAAGCGTTACCCCGCCCTGCTCACAAGCGAAAATGGGAAAATCAACTACAAGGGAAACTTGGCCGATGTAAAGCTAAATGGAGTGAAGAACTTCTGTGACGATTGCGTCGAGCAGATTATAACTGAAAAACGAATTTTGGATATTTACAACTCACTTAAGGAAATAGTCAAGGGCATTGCACCTCAGGCCGATGAAAAGGCGTTCCAATTGGCATTGGACTATCCATTCCGTGCTGGTGCAGCCAAGAGCATTATCGGTGTCCGAAGCGATTCTCTGGAATATAAAAATTGGGTAAGAAAGCGTTAACTTCTTACAAGTCTCTTTTATTTCGATCTTTTATGTTTTAGTGGAAATTTGTTCGAGCTCAATTAACGGGATCCGTTACCAAATTTGACGGTGCGCTTCTTCATCTTATTGCCCCAGTAAAGGCGCTTTCACTGGAAGGAGTACCAGCCGAAAAATTAATTGGTAGGATCTTGGATCTAAGCCGCGTTATATATATGATATCAGTAACGTTTGATTTTCACAGGCTTCAACTCTCGTTTGGTGGCCACTGTAGATGGAAAAGACCAAAAGAAGCGAACCAAACTGCAATTCGATAATGATATGGGCATTGACTTTGTCCTCAATAACGGCGGTTGGGTGTTTGCGACACAAAACTTTGACAAGCTAAAAGCAGCAGACCAAAAGAAAATGCTAAACCAGATTACATCATCCCTGGCAGATACTCTCTTCAAGACCGAAATCGTCAGCGACTGCCGCTGTCTGCCGGTCCATGGATTGCATGGCCAACACAAGTGCGTCATCAAGTCATCGACATTTGTTGCGACCAAAAAGCCAAAAGCTGCCTAAAATGGTATCATGTACATTGAACCTTAATCCATTAAAATGAAAAATCTTGCACCTAAAATATAAGTGAACAAAATAAATGAATTAAAACGTAAAAGGACTACCTAGTATTTTAAATACTCTGGTTTACAGAGTAACGGGTATCTGATAACACTATGCAGCATCAAAAATTCACCTCGATGGATGCTACATTTTTGGATTCGTTACGAATTCCCAAGTTAAACTGCATTTTCCAATAAGTTCCGCGACGCAAGGATTCTTAGCAAAACGACCTCAAAGTTCGAAAAATGCTGAAATTGGCTAACTTTGCGGAGTTCTCAGAGGCAAATGGATGCATGGTTTGATTCGATGTTAAATTTTTTTAAAAGATATACTCTTTTTCTTTCAGACCCAATACTTAGAATAATTTTAGGATTTTTTTAAGGCAGAAATAAAATCCAGAAAACATAGTATTTATAGTTTTCCACTTTATAAAAAGCTTAAACTTTAAAGTATTATGGGTGAATGCTTTAAACTTTTTATAAATTCCCTTCATTTAAAATTTTTACATATGTCAAACCGTTTTTTCTTCCGTCTGTTATTCCCGTTTAAATAGGCATTCTTCTATAGTAATCATAGATTTTAATCCTTATATTTTAAGGATATACCAATGCTTTATTCAAGTGTAATATGAAATAAATTTTTATGCTCTTCGATATTAGGTTTTAAAATTAGCAATTGTATTATTTTGGCAAACACAAAGGACGATTGTAAGATGGAAAACATATTGATTTATATAAGTATATAGGCGAAATATTTGCTGAAGATATTATTGAGGGATTGTAAATTTATTAAAAGCGGGTTTTACCATATTCAAAGATATTTTAGTGTTAGTTTCATGATTCTTATAGTTTTAGATTTGATTTAATTTAGGCACTTTCACAATTTAGGGTTTGTTCGTAAATATATAAATATTGTCATCAGCCTATCTTAAAATAAAATACAATTGAGACTAATCTATGTTGATAACACATCATTTTCATTCCAAGTCAATAGAATGTATTAGAACATAAAACTTATATTAAAGAACTCCCGTTTTGACTTTGAAGACAACCGAGGACATTTATGTGTATGTCTACCGGACGGAAAATAGAAAATGTAAAGGCAGATATTGAGCACGCTGTAAAAGGAAGTATATTTAAAATTCATTAATTAAAGCAAGATTTGAAAATGGATAATACCTACGCTAAGGGCAACCGCACTCATCAACAACCATTTTTGGCAAGTCTCTTTTAATGATTCCATCATCCCCGTAGTAGATCAAAGACATACTAGAGAATTTTATTGGGGCGCAACAGGGTCGCATTCCATTTAAGAGACCCATTTTTCGATACTCCTCTATAAAATGGGCATGAAATGTTTGGAAAGTGTCTGGTGTCCTAAAGGACCCCGTGCAATCCCCTCTGCAATAGTTGGCAAAGTATCCCCTTGGAGCGATAATCCAGTCGTCCCAACCAAGTGCCTTGAAGGATACATAGAAGGACTCTTTGCAGCATTGACCACTAAGAGCACCGCCACAATCCACGGCGCGTCTCCTAACACGTCTTGTCCTCGTTGATTCCGTGTGAAGTACGAGAAATGGTCGATTAAGATTAGGGCTCATATACTCTGATTCTGATGAGTTGTCTCCTAGTTTCGCAGTTTGGAACAGGTGCAATGAGTACCGACCACCGCAGCCAGTGCAATCAATCAACAGTCGTAGCTTTTCGTCACTGCCATGCCCATACCACTCACGGATTGTTTCGGTTAAATCGAATTTTTGCCATCCCAAATGCTTGGTGTCGACATCAAAGGAAGCCCGAAACAAAATAGCTTTGTCTATTCCCTATAATAAAATTCATAAAGACATTTTTAAAATCACAACATATCATCATTATATTACCTTTTCTGTAATATTTATCGCAGTTGATAATTGAAAAACCCAGATTTTTATTCTATGGTGAGGTTTATTTGCCCGCCATTTCCGTTTAGTATTTGGCAAATGTTCTTCTTGCAAATTTTTTGCTCTTTCCATCCAGAAACTGTGTGGTTTGTCTATTCGTATGTGGATCTGAGCGCTGCGTATGGAGAGTTTTTGGTTAGGAACACGCCGATTTTGGGGCGAAAATTCAAGTATTCGATATTGTCGATATTGGGTTCCTTGAAATAAGAATATTATGACAATTGAGTATTATTAGTTGATGGAAAGAATTAAGCTGTTTGAGCGGATTATAAATAATGGTTTGTTTACGTTCTTGTAAAGTTAAAAATGACAATTCATTTACACAACTTATAGATTCGTGATTACACAGGTCGTCAAAGTCCAAAGGATTTTTAGAGCAAATTTACTTCGAAACTGTACATTTTCCATCACAAATGTAAAATGTCCGAAAGGCAAACGGCTTTCCTTTTATTTTTTTGTATCAAATTAAATAGCATCTCAACCAAAATTGCGTGTCGTTAAATACCCTTGCAGAGGATGCTATGATTTCAGTCAGAGACCACCAACGCAGTAAAGGAGACATGTCGCACAGATTTAAATACTAAGGTTTTATTTTTAGTTGGCCCTTAGCATTATAGCCATAAAAAAACACATACATTACATGCGTGATTGATGAAACCGGTTGGTGCGAGCTCGAGGGTCCGTGGTTCGAGTCACGTAGAGTCTAACAAAAATTTTGTTTCCTTTTCACGAATTTTAGCTTTCTTCCGTAGACCCTTTTCTCACCGAAAACCACTTACCTTCTTCTGCAAATGTAATTATTTCCTGAGTATTTCCAAAGAAGTCTTCATGATCAATATTTTCCTGGTCATGAACAACCGATTCGTAATGCCGCTTCTGTTTTTCTCCTTCAATATTTTGGACCATTGAATGATATCCAACGCTAGAGCTACTTTCGTGGCTTTTCTCATTAGTCTGAACACTGTAATCGTTAAAATAATCATAAGCATTGCGCCTGATCTCACCATTAATGCCAGTGTTGGCGCTACTATCACTACTACGGTTTATATCTATCAGATATGTAGATTTTCTGTACGCATTCGCATTCATTTGTTTGCCGCCGATGCTATTAACATTTTTGGCATCTCCGTTTTTAAGCATCTTCGTAATACTGCCATGGTGGCTTTCGTGTTGTGATGTAGATTTAGACGCAATACGAGAATTCATTTTTAATTGACGTTTCTCTGTCCATCTTTTCAAAAATACGTTTTTCTCATCGTCTTTTTGCATATAATGCCTTCTTCGGTCTGCAGGCCGATTTCTCAAGACCTTTTCATAAACGTTCCCTTTACTTGTGTTAAAAGTATAATCGAACGGGGATCGATATTGATGTTGACTACTAGGATAACTCCTACCGCCCCGGCCACTGAACCTATGTGTTTCGGGTAGGGCTAACGTCCGTGCTCTGGAGTTCTGTTGATCAAAATCATTACCACTGCTCTCAAAGGCATTGTCCATCCGTCCACCATCTGCACGATATATAGTTTCCCAAATAAATTGTTTAGGAAGGGGATGAGATACATTGGGTTTGTGGCTAAGACCAAGCTTCGTCAAAATTTGCCGTTTAATCGACTCCAAGCGAACTTGGTCGCTCGGTGCAATGTTGTTATGTGGTTGATTAGTTTTTTTGTTGAAATAATTGTTGGTATGGTATTTGTTGTAGATGTTGTAGTCTGTATGTGGATTATCTGTGTAAATGTGATAATTGTAAAGTGTTATGTAAGTTACATTAGATTTAATTTTCGTTTGGTTTTGTATGGAGTGTATTTGTAGTTTAAATTTAGTATAATATAATGTGGGTGTAGATAAATTAGTCGAGATCTCATTTAACTTCTTTAATAATAAAAACCTTTATTCACCTTTGCGAAAAGAAATTTCTCAACGTAATAATAAATGTAGAATAGGAGTTTTTTCATCCAAAAAAAATCTTTTACGAATCAACAATTAATTAATAATGTTGCTGTTTACAGACAGCCATTATAGCTTTTACACTCATTAAAAGTTTAAGCGACAAAGCTTTTAAATATGTCAAAATCCTAGAAGTATGTAATTCTTAATTACATATTCCGTACCGATATTTGCAAATGGCCGAAAGTCCGAGGTTCATTCCCCAGTGAGTGCAAGTGTGTTGAAATGCTAAAAATGTTTGTCATATCTAGAGTTCTAGCATCTTTAAAGGTGTGGGCGCCAGTCACATTTTAAAATCGTTAGTGGGCGATTTTGGGCGTTAGAGGGGGCGTGGCGCTCGGCTGAAATAAACTTGCGCTACGTAGGAAGCCCAAGAATATGTGTGGAAAATCTCAATCTTCTAGCTTTTGTAGTTTCCGAGATCTCAGCGTTCATACGGACAGACAGACAGACGGACAAACGGACTTGGCTATATCGACTCGGCTAGTGACCCTGATCAAGAATATATATACTTTATAGGGTCGGAAACGCTTCCTTCTCCCTGTTACAATAAAATTAATTTGTTAAAATTTAATTCGAAATTCAGAATTAGATATAACAGGTATTTCCAAAGGTAGGAGGTTATATGTTAAAAAACACCCAAGATATAATTTTTTACCCTTGCAGAGGGTATTATAATTTCAGTCAGAGGTTTGTAACGCAGTGAAGAAGGCATTTTCGACCACATAAAGTATATATATTCGTGATCAGCACCAATAGCCGAGTTCATCCAGCTATGTCCGCCTGTCCGTTTGTCCGTTTCTATGCGAGCTAGTCTCTTAGTTTTAAGGCTATCGCGATGAAACTTTTCCAAAAGTCTTCTTTATATTGCAAGTAGTACATATGTCGGAGCGAGCCGGATCGGACTTAAGGCTCCCATAATAATCAAACAAATATAAGAAAATTCATTGTAACTTTGTAGGAAGTAGGCGTTTTTGATTTTTGACAACCCAAAAACAAAATTTTAAATAGGCACGCAGAAAATGGAATCCCTGGAACTGCACCGAGCGAGTGAGTGAGCATTAAACTATAGGTATTTACTTTATCTGCAAGGGTATATATGTAAGCTTCGGCTGGCCGAAGCTAGCTTCCTTTCTTGTTTTACATTTTCTTTCCGATTATTCCTATGGGAGCTATTAGATATAGTTGTCCGATCCGGCTCATTCCGACATATATACTACCTGCAAACGAAAAAAGACTTTTGGGAAAGTTTTCGCCCGATAACTTTAAAGCTGAGAGACGGACAGAGCCCAGAAAGAAAAACTATTATGTAAACATGTTTTTAAAGTGACCGCTTTTGGAAAACCTACAAAATCCGCACTAAAATAAAATTAGTTTTTCGGTGTCACAGAATCTGTAGAGTTTGGTAGGAGTTTTGGAGTAAATTTGCTCTGATTTTAGGAACATTTGCTTCAAGACCTATTATTCGGTTGGTTTAAAATCGTGTACTGAATGTTCAAACGGTTTCTGTGACACCGAGATTTGCTTTTGGGGGGAAATGTGGATGAAAGATATGTCTGTGACACCCCTGATAATATACATATGTATTACAAAAATGTGGCCCCATTGCAATGTTTATAAATGCCAAACATATCTTGTTCAATCAAAAGTCATATAGTGAGAAAATTTCCGTTTCGACCCAAAAATATGTGTGGGTAATCCCAACTTTCAAGCTTTTGTAGTTTTCGAGATCTCAGCGTTCATACAGAGTCTGTATTACAGACATACAGACGGACAGACAGACATGGCTAGATCGACTCGGCCAGTGATCCTGTGTATTTTGTTTTTGTAGTGGGCGTGTGTTTTGGCTAATTGTGTGTATTTTGTGGTTGTGAGGGTAACTATTTGATTGATAGAATTGACAATATTTTGGTTGGGGAATTTTTGACTATTATATATTACCAATCAATTTTTATGTGTGGAGGACGAAAATGTATTACTCTTTTACTTTTCACCATCACAAGAGCAATAGTGGAACTATTTATTTCTTTTCTGAATCTTTAAATTAATTGCTATACGCAACACCTGTCGTATTGAAATATGTGCGCGATGTATATATTGGATTTATATTGGAATTTAATCAAGCCTGAGTATAAGGAAGAACCTACCTTTATCGTTGTAAATGTTGAGCTTGCCTCCTTCGTGACACAAGGTGCATCCCTTGTGAGACTCCAGATTGGAAGCATAGTAATTGCCACTGCTGATTCCGTTGCAGTTTATTAGTTTGACTTCAAACCAAACGAGCCCAATAAGAAGCCAAATAAGATTGGCTCTATTGCGTTTAATTTTTGAGCAGTTGCGAATTGAGCCATGTGTCGATGCCCAAGGTGATATTATTTCCCTCAGAGGCGACACTAGAACGCTTTTTTCGGACTGACCCAACAGTTTTATTCCTGTAACTGTGTCGTAATCTACTCTATAATTTGTCTCTAAGGTTTGGCATATGCCGTCGCTAAGGCGTATTCTTTGTTGAAAGACGCTCTCGTTCCTTCGCATCGGTCGATCGGTTCGAAGGTGTTTTTGCGGTTTGCGTTGAACTGGTTGCCGTTTATCGCTAACCGCATTTCGGTTCCTGCGGCGCCTGCGCCTGCGCCGACGACGTCTTCTTCGTTGTCGTTTGCGATTGCGACTGCTGCAAAGCATTCGGCACAGGTTGTTGGACTTCACCTGCTGGTCATTATTTATGTCGTACGAGGTGTACCCGTAAAATAGCTTCAGCTTCGAGTCCGTATTGCTGCTGGGAGTTTCGTTTGGCGTGGTAGGAACAGGCATGTGGACTGCCCTACTGTTGGCCCTGCTTCCATCGGAGACATCGGACTGGGCAAGTACCGAGAAAATATCCAGGAGGATGCAGCTTGTAAGAAGGGTGGCTAGTGCAGTCGTCCATCGAGCAAGCACCAAAATGGCTCCCATAAGCTTTGACACGCCTAAGACTTCTGGATCAAGAACTTTCTTGCGCGCCACAGCCGGCTGGATAAATGATTTTCGGGATCCATTGCTGCTGCAGCAGTTGAAGCTAAAGCAACAGCAGCACTTAACAACCACCACACAGCATCCTTGGCGACAGCATAGGCATTGGCAATTAAAGAAGCATCTGTTGCCTTTGAAAGGCGGCTCCGACTGCGATTGATTGGGGTCAAAAGCAAACCGCATCTTGATATTTGGCAACGGGTAATACTGGCAGTGACCCTTAGAAGAGATGTAAGAGTAGTGGCAGTTTTATATTCCTGGTATCCAACTTCCGGTCCATTGCAAATCCTTTTCATTGGGGCTGTGTATATTCATTTTGTGCCTTAAAAACGAAAAGATGGATAGTGGTTTCTAAAAAATATGCCTCTAGGTGTTGCTTATATGTATACCTGTTACTCTTAGAGTAAATTTATTTATATTGAAAAATGTATTCTTCATTTTGATAGGTACTGATAAACACAATAAAACTGCATTTAAGGGTAATCCCGACTTTCTAGCTTTTGTAGTTTAAGAGATCTCAGCGTTCATACCGACGGACAGATATTTACTCGGAAATGCTTCCTTCTAGCTGTTAGCACGAATACATGTCAAAAACCAAATTAAAACAAGAAAGGAAGCTAGCTTCGGCAAACCGAAGCTTATATACCCTTGCAGATCATTCTATTAATTTACAAATCGCAAAAATGTTAAATTTCTTATTATTTCACATTAATTTTTCGATCGTTTCTATCACAGCTACATGATATAGTAATTCGATCTTTTAAAAATTAAAATCGAATTTCGGAAATATTTCAAAATAGTCATATCCCAGAGAAGAAGGGAATGTAATAAAAACCAACAAAGATATAATTTTTTCCCATTAATTTCCATTTAATTTTTCGACCGTTCCTATGGCAGCTATATGATAAAGTGATCCGATTTAAAAAACAAAAAAACCGAAATTCAGAAATATATAGAAATAATACCCTCTGCAAGGGTATAAAAAGCAGGCCACCTGGCTTGAAAAACATTTTTATACCCTTGCAGAGGGTATTATGATTTCAGTCAGAAGTTTGCAACGCAGTGAAGGAAACGTTTCCGACCCCAAAAAGTATATATATTCTTGATCAGCATCACTAGACGAGTCGATATAGCCATGTCCGTCTGTCCGTCCGTCTGTCTGTCCGTTTCTACGCAAACTAGTCTCTCAATTTTGAAGCTATCGGCTTAAAACTTTCCCAAAAGTCTTCTTTCTATTGCAGGTAGTATATAAGTCGGAACCGGTCAAATCGGACAACTATATCTTATAGCTCCCATAGGAAAGAACGGAAAATTTTTTTTTTTTTTTAATTCTAGCTTTGGTGTTTTTTTGAAATATTAACTTATACTCCTGGGAATGTTCTTTTTTAAATATTTATTAATTTCGAATAAAATTTAGAAAAAATTGTGACACTATATCATATAGCTGCCATAGGAACGGTCGGAATATTAAATGCAAATTAATAGGAAACAAATTATTGCTTGGTTGGTTTTTATTGTATTCTCTTCTACTCTTGGATATGAGTCTTCTTAAATATTTCCGAATTTCTGTTTTAATTTTATCAAAATTAAACTACTATATCATATAGCTGCCATAGGAACAATCGGAAAATTAATGAGAAATAATAGAAAATTGAACATTTTTGCGATTGGGTTGTTTCACTAAAAAATGCATATCGCCAATTTGCAAATTTTTGGCCTTCATGTCATTCTGTCATTAGCTTTTACACTGCGTGAAATATCCTGAAAAACATCAAATTTTTACCGATTTTACCCTATTATTCCTATGGGAGCTATAGGCAGGGATCGCAAGTAAGAGTTACTTTTTTGAAAAAAAAATTGACAAATAAGTTTTATTTTTCAATTTCTATTATAAAAGTTGACAAATAAGTCTTATGCTTCAATTTTTATTATAAAAGTTGACAAATAACTCTTATGCTTCAATTTTTCTTATAAAAATCAACAAATAAGAGTTATTTGTCAACTTTTATAATAAAATAAAGATTGAATTGAAATAACTCTTAAACTGTGGGGTACATTGGTTTAAAATTTAAATATATATAATCTACGCTTTAATACCTTTCTGTTGATATGCCATATGTCCCCAAAATATTTTTTATGATGTAACAAATATTATTATTATAAAAAATATTTAGGGGACATATGGCATATCAACAGAAAGGTATTAAAGCGTAGATTATATATATATAAATTTTAAACCAATGTACCGTACAGTTCAAGAGTTATATCAATTCAATCTTTATTTTCAATTTTTATTATAAAAGTTGACAAATAACAGAGTTGTGACTAATGCATTAGATTTGTAATGAATTAGCAATTTCATTAGCATTAAAGCAATGTAATGCTAGTGAAATCAGTTTTCATTATCATTAGAAAAAGTAATGCTTTTAATGCATTACTTTTGACAAATATAATGCTAATGAAAATTCAATTCATTATTTTTGACAAATATAATGCTAATGAAAATTCAATGCATTACTTTTGACAAATATAATGCTAATGAAAAATATTTCATTACTTTTGAGAAAAAGTAATACCAATGATATTTTTTCATTACAATTAATAATGCTAATGAAAAAATTTGCATTAAAATTTTCATTAAATATTTTTTAACTATACTTTTTTGATAACGTGTTGCAACCGCAAACCATGTCTTCATGCAAATAGGCCTGAAGATTTCGCGATTTCACTTTTATCTTTTTTTGCATTAGTTACGAGTTCATGCTTAACATACAAAACTTCTTAGTGCCAGTGCTGAAGAAGTCGCGGTCCATGAAGGAAAATTAGCTTTTAACGTTTTTCGAGCTTAGGACCGCTGTACTATGCAGTTTCCGAAAATTTCTTGGTGGTAGTTCTTCAGAACTCGCGGTCCATGGAGAAAAAATAGATTTTAACGTTTTTTGAGTTATGGACCGCTGTGCCATTGGTGTTGTCTTCAACCAATGTGGCCCGAAGATTTCGCGGATTGATTTCGATTGTTTTTTGGATCGGTTGCTGTTTGTATTCGTAAAAGCAAGTACATTAGTGCTATGCTTAACTTACAACATATTTTGGCGGTTATTCATAAAAAATCGGGGTCCGTATTCTATTTAATTTTGTTCAGTTTTAAGTAAGCATCCCAGCAGGCTTTTGCGGTCAAATTCACTAACGAATGACATGCAGTGTCAGATTAAACCATTATATAAAAGCAGTGTCGGAGCAAACATATCATAAAAAGCGGTGTCGGAACACACAAATAAGGAAAAATCAGTGTCGGAGCAAACAAATAAAAAAAATCAGTGCAAGTTACAAAAAAAAAAAAAACAAGTGAAATGGCAAGTGAAAATAAACCAGTGATTGACGGGATGGACGGATGCAGCAATCAGTCAATGATTACTTCGTTTTCCAACATTTCGTGAGTATTCTTCTTAAACGTTTGAAAAAACGTACTAGTTAATAAAAAAAATTAAAACTAGAGCCAGCACTTCGCATAGTTCCTTTCAAATACAAAACTCCGTTACCATCGTTACGAATATGAAGAAGACTGCAATCAAGACGACAAAAAGATGACCTGAAGCGAAGCCAAGACGGTCATGACGGCCGACTGAGCAAAAACGTGCTTTATCAAACGACGCGACGACGATAAATACTCAATCGAAGAACTATCAAACTTAAACTATATTATGTTTTCTATTAAATAAAGTTTCTCAAATTCTATCACTTACAAAATAAAGCCCCACATATATACTTAACAAAATAAAATAGAAAATTTTTACTTTTTCCTGGATTCCTGGCAAATCATTTGTATCCTGGCCATTTTGGTTGACAGATTCTTAGGATCTGTCAGATCCAATGATTCCACAATATAGACATTAAATGTAAAACCGCCAAAAGACTATCCTCATTGGATACTTTTCTGCAACTGTGCAGTACAGCGGCCAATACCCCCAAAAAACTTTAAAAACAAATTTTCTTCCATGGACCGCGACTTCTTCAGCACTGTCAAGAAGTTTTGTAAGTTAAGTATGAATGTGTTATAGTTTATAAGTTTAGTATACTAAACTTGTAACTAATGCAAAAAAAAGATACAAATCAAACCGCGAAACCTTCAGGCCTCTATGGATGAAGACAGCCCCTAACCAGCAGAGGTGTTCAGTAAAGGGTACACAACAAAGATGGCGATTTCAGTAAAAAAATATTTTTCCATTTTGACCAATCTTTTTCATTGATAAAATAAATGCACTTGGCGTTGCATTACGACTATTAAGTTCTTGTAAGTCAAGTGCATGTTGTAGTACTGACGTAAAACCTTGCCTTTAAAGTAGCGTCTTATCTTAAAAATGGCTGTATTCAATTGAGATACATATGGTTTGCGGTTGCAATACTTTATCAAAAAAGGATAGTTAAAAAATATTTAATGAAATTTTTAATGCAAATTTTTTCATTAGCATTATTAATTGTAAGGAAAAAATATCATTGGTATTACTTTTTCTCAAAAGTAATGAAATATTTTTCATTAGCATTATATTTGTCAAAAGTAATGCATTGAATATTCATTAGCATTATATTTGTCAAAAATAATGAATTGAATTTTCATTAGCATTATATTTGTCAAAAGTAATGCATTAAAAGCATTACTTTTTCTAATGATAATGTAAACTGATTTCACTAGCATTACATTTTGTAATGATAATGAAAAAGTAATGATAATGCTTAAAGGCACAACTATGACAAATAACTCTTATTTGTTGATTTTTATAATAAAAATTGAAGCATAAGAGTTATTTGTCAACTTTTATAATAAAAATTGAAAAATAAAACTTATTTGTCAATTTTTTTAAAAAAGTAACTCTTAAGGCATTTTTCCACTATGCGGTTTTTTCGGTATTTTTGTGTATTTTCGATTGGCAACGCGATAGGCGGACGTGAGGTGTTTCCATTGGCAAACGCGTCTGAAAACAGCTGTTGTGCTGTTGTCATTTGCGAGCTGAAGTAAACAATGGATTTAAATAATTTGTTATTGATAATTGTAATCGCAGAACAGCTTTTGAACCTGGAAACATTGCTGCAATGATGAAAGCAACAACATCCCACGTTACGCTGCTTGAGCATTTATTACGGCAGAAAGCAAAAGGATCTGCTGCAGAAGGCGTTCATATATATAGATCTGAACAGTCATTTAATTAATTCTTTGACACGACCCGCGACAGCAGTAGCTTCTGCGGCGGCACGTCACTGAAAAGAATCTGATACGGGGCAGAAATCCTACAAGAACATTGTGCGCAAGAAAGAGGGAGATGTGCCCTTTTCCAGCAGTCGCCTGTCAACGTGTGTCATTTGAATATGGAATGGCCATCTACGGTCTAACCAGGAGGTCGCCTTAATGGACGAATGGCGCACGCGAAGCAAACGTCAAGATCATGGAGACGGGAAAGCCCATGTGGCTGCGCTGCAACGACCAATATTTCGCTTCCGATCCTTTCTAGCCGAGCCATTCCATTGGATAAACGAACTGCTACTGCTCTTTATGCGCTTGGATCATCCTCGGAATTCTGAACTATTGCCAGATCATTTGGCATATATCATATATCAAATACCAATCTATACGAAATAAAGTTCATGTAAATATCAACAAAAAATGGTTTTAATATTTCCCGCTTCTTATCAGCCTCTTATCAGTTTCGGGTCCAGAAAAATGTTCATGCCTGGTTAATACTGCTTAAATATACCACAAATTTCACTTTCCAGCCCTGTAACGCGACAAATTTCCACCCTCCCCTCCTCACTCCTCGCCTACAAGTTTTGTATGGGATTTGGGCGCGTTAAACGGTAAATGGATGCAAACGCGACGCGTCCATAATGAGCAGAGGGCATTACTTGCGATCCCTGGCTATAGGATATAGATTGGCACGTGCTTTCACACTGTCAACAAGTTTTACACTGCGCGAAAAATCATCAATGTTTGCAAGTTATATCCAATTGTTCCTATGGGAGGTGTAGGATATAGACGTCCGATCGGGTCCATTTTCAAACTTGATCTGCGTACACATGTTTTAGGATGACTTTGAAAGTTTTAAGTCGCTAGCTTTTAAACTGAGTTCGCAAACGGTATTGAAACAGACGGATAGACGGACATGGCTATATCGACTCCCCTATTGATTCTGATCTAGAATATATACACTTTATGGGGGCGGAAACGTCTCCTTCACTGGGTTACAAACTTCTGACCAAAATTATAATACCCTTTGCAAGGGTATAAAAAATGGTTTCTGCGATTATCTCGAAAGAAATTTTAAGTTGTAAACTAGTGTTATTTGTTCTTTCCTTCCTATGGAGGCTATAAAATATTGTCGTCCGACTGTTCTTAAATTTAATTCGAAATTCTGAAATACTTAAAAAGAGCCATATCCCATAGTGGTAGAGAATACAATCAAAAAACCAACGGAGCTATAATTTCTTTCGAATTAATTTCCCATCAATATTCCGATCGTTCCTATTGCAGCTATATGATATAGTCGTTCGATTTTTATAAAATTATAAATTAATTATATGTCAAAAAACATGGGTAATAGTCTAGAGGAGGGGCCTGTGCCCCAAAAATCGCGAACAAATTAATTTTAATTTATTTATTTGTTTTATCCCTATGCGACAAGACTAGGTCTTATAAATTATTACATCGCACTATGGGAAAAAAGTCAATTTTTTTGGCATAAAATCAACTTATTTTACAAATTATTTTTAAAAATTAAATATATTTTGTGAATTTACATACCCTAATTAGCCAAGAACAGTTATCAAAGATTTTTTACTAACAACACTATAGTGTTGATAAGCGAACAAAGTCAGCTCTTCGATTGACTTTGTTGTGTGCGTAAATTAGTGAAAAATCTTTGCAAACTTTCAGTGCTTATTTTGTGGAGCAACAAAATGGTTTATTATTTCTGATCATGTCAAATCGTAGCAAAGGTATTTATAAATATATCTTAGATTACATGTTTTGATTATTATGGTTTGTTGTCCAACTGTGAACTGTTTTAAATGTGCACATTTTTAGCTTAAAACTAACAAGTTTGTTTGTGTTCCGTGGTGTACAACTTATAATTGGCACAAAGTTGCAAAAAGGTAAAAACGCAAAGTTATTACCAAATGTATCCTTAATATCGCAAAACTAATCATTTTTGCAACTTTTTGCACGTTTCTTCAAAAAAATTACTTAAATACAGCAACTTATAAACATCAAAAAAAATATTTTGTAAATAAAAAAACAATCTAAGTGGCTTTCATTAATCTTTAAAATTGAATTTATGGAAAGGGACAAGTCAAGTGAAAATCCTGGTTGCAAAGGGCTCAAATATAATGAAGCCGGACCCCCGTTAAAGCTTAAATTGGCATCTGCTCTTAGATAATATTTCACTTTTCTTGTACATGTCAGCAATTTTTTTTTTGACAAATTTTAAAAATTAACGTAAACCAAAATTATCTTACCGTCTTACCAAAACAAATACAAATTTATTTAAATCCCTGCCAATTAATTTGAATATGCGGCGTGGGCGGTGGATGAAAGCAATGGTCCGATTCAAAAAGCAACAAAAACCGAAATAACAGCTTTATCTTAATAGTATATATAAAAAATTTCTAAATTGTATCTCTAAAACTAGAGTTTATGCCAAAAAAATAGACTTTTTTCCCATAGTGCATCGGTCACTTTGGAAAAATTAATAATATATATATATATAAAATGGACCGCGATTTCTTAGGAATTTACGTGCAGAAGATTATCGGCGGAAATGCATGGTTCTGTTGTAATTGCACTTCAAAGTTGCGTGTTTTGCTATAAAAACAACGTAGCATTTTCTAGTGTTTTGTGACAATTTGCTATAAAAAACATATGGGCTTTTCGTTTGTTGTCAAAATATTAAGCGTTCGAAAAAATTCGACAAAAATGTGAAATTGTTTTTATAGCACGCCAGACCCCACAACAGCGAATTAAATATCTTCGGTAAGCAGTGATTCCTTAAGAACTGGAGTGATTATGGATGACCAAGACATACATATTTTAACCTTTTTCACGGTCTTAGCCGTTATAGAACCTTAATTTTTATATTTTTAAAGAAAATTGTAGAAAAGTCTAGACCAATAATGCACGCATTTTATAATTCTAAGCGCAATACAAGTAGTAAAAAAAATGTAAAGAAGAAGTTTTATGCGCCGCATGCATTTATTGCTTTCCTAACCACAATACAAGTACTTAAGAAAATGTAAAGAAGTGCTATGGCGCATTAATTGCATTCCTAGAACCGCGGCTTGCTATAAAAACAATTTCACATTTTTGTCGAGTTTTTTTGAACGCCTATTATTTTGACAACAAACGGAAAGCCCGTTAGTTGTTTATAGCAATATGTCACAAAACAGCTGAAAATCCTAGAAAATGCTTCTTTGTTTTTATAGAAAAACACGCCACTTTGAAATGCAATTACAAGGGAACCATGCATTTCCGCCGCATTTTTTCTGGATGTAAAATCTCTAAAAATCGCGGTCCATCGAGGGTAATTTATTCGCGATTTTTGGTGCACAGGCTCCTCTTCTAGACTATTAACAAAACATGAAAGCTATAATTTTTTCGATTATTTTTCCAATATTTCCTATGGGAGCTATAAGATATAGTTGTCCGATCCTGCCGATTCCGACCTGCAATAGATAAAAGAGTTTTGGGAAAGTTTCATCCGAATAAATTTAAAACTGAGAGACTAATTTGCAGAGAAACGGACAGACAAGCGGACGGACATACAGAGAGATGTCTTCTTCACTGCATTACAAATTTCTGACTGAAATCATAATACCCTCTGCAAGGGTATAAAAAGAAAGCAAAGAATGCGCCGCATGCCAAACAAATGTTTAATACATTGTGTTCAGGATTAAGCAAGTAACTGTGTCATTAAAAAAAAAATTCAATCCTCATATTTGTTTTGTGCGAGTGAGATGGAGATATGCAGTTATCAAAACTACTGGAGTCATCTAGCGTCTGTTGAAATTTTTGATGGCTCCATCTAACGGCTGTTTAAATTTTTGCTCATAGCTTTGAATTTCGGGTTGGGACTCCCCTAAACTGGAGTATTATCGCGGGTTTTTTCCAAAGTCGTAAAAAGGAAGGTCGATTTTCTATAGTTTGGGTACATATGTATATGTACATATTTTGCCATGCAAGCCATTTCCTAGCCTAGACGTATGTATGTATGTATGTATGTATGTAGTAGCACTATTTAAAGTCTAGGCAGGCTTTGTGCCGACTGCCGAATAGGTAGTACTTAGGCTGACTAACACACACAGCCACAGACATGTACAAGGCGACACTCAGTCAGACGGGGTCGAGACGAGACGACGCCAGACTGGACACTTACAAGTGCGGCAACGTAAAGGGGAGATATCAAATAACATGTGTTTTACTGCCAAACCCTGCGTACTGGCTACACTTTAGAGGTTTTCATAAAATGTATCACCTTTGTATTTTTAAAATATCTGTAAAATAAGCGAAAATGTTCGTCATTTATTTACTGTGAATTTCCTCGAGACGACTATTAATAAACACTGTCTGTTAAATTCCTCAGGACTTTTCACATTATTACAATTTATTTTGATTTCGTTTTAGCAAGAAATGAACTTTGTATGTCCGACGGTCTAAATGACATTGCATACTTTATGGCATGACTGACCTGACATGACATGACATGCGTGCGCATAACCACAGAGAATATACATTCTTATTCGATGATTTAATACTGTACGTATCGATAACGTTATCGGGCTTTAGGCCATTTGCCCCGCTTTTTACTGTTTTTAAAAAGCTAGTCTTAAGAAACACTGAGGAATAAATACAAATTTAAATTATAGATTGATTAGATTAAGTTGCTACTTGGGTATCTCTAAAGATTATAAAATGAAAGACCGATTTTTAAGGGGATACGACCACAGCCCAAACCGTAGGAGCTAGAGCAGCCAAATTTTTTCACAGTATTCCATTGGGGGCATGTCCGACATGTCCCCCCAGTGGCCCCAAACAGCTCCAATATCCATATTTAGAGGAAAAAATCATTAGATGTACTTAAGCTTAACTTCTAAAATGGTTGGAATTTCGAAATTTTGATTTTGCAGAATTTTAGGTCTTGAAAGGGCCTAATTAGAAATCTAAAAGAAATTTCGATATCCCCCATAATTTGGGGGCTACATTTAAAACTAACTTTTCGATTTTAAAAATCTAAACCGCTGATCCGATCGATATGATTTTTCGGTCAATGGTTATTCTATGGCCCGAATGCTTAAGTTTTCAAGTTTATACATTTTTTTAAAGTATTTTTAACGAATTTATTTAGATTTTCTAAGTTATTGCGTTGTATGTAGAGAGAACGCTATAGTCGGGTTCGTGTCCCGACTATCTAATACCCGTCACTTAGCTAAAGGGAGTGCGAACGCTGTACTCGGGTTGGTGACCCGACTAATAATCGTAACTCAGCTAAAGGGAGTGCGAGGGAGATATATATAGAAATTTTGATTGCGTATAACTTTTTAATGAATGGTCCGACCTGAAAAATGTCTTCTACATTTCGATAGGTATAAATATGCACAACAAAATTGCATTTATACTTCTCGGAAATCTTAAAAGGTGTGGGCGCTAGACACATTTCAAATCGTTAGTGGGCGATTGTGGGCGTTAGAGGGGGCGTGGCACTCGGCTAAAATAAACTTGCGCTGCGTAGGAAGCCCAAGACATGGCTAGATCGACTCGGCTAAGGATCCTGATCAAGAACATTTATAGTTTATAGGGTCGGAAACGCTTCCTTCTACCTGTTACATACTTTTGCACGAATCTAATATACCCTTTTACTCTACGACACATTTCAAATCGTTAGTGGGCGATTGTGGGCGTTAGAGGGGGCGTGGCACTCGGCTAAAATAAACTTGCGCTGCGTAGGAAGCCCAAGAATATGCGTGGAAAATCTCAACCTTCTAGCTTGTGTAGTTTCTGAGATCTCAGCGTTCATGCAGACAGACAGACGGACATGGCTAGATCGACTCGGCTAGTGATCCTGATCAAGAATATTTATAGTTTATAGGGTCGGAAACGCTTCCTTCTACCTGTTACATACTTTTGCACGAATCTAATATACCCTTTTACTCTACGAGTAACGGGTATAAAAATGACATATAACTCTTATTATCTTAGGTATCGTTAATAAGAGTTAACCTATTCAAAAAAATTTGCATATGTATATTATACATTATATAACTCTTATTCTCCAATTTTTATACCCTTGTAGAGGGTATTATAATTTCAGTCAGATGTTTGCAACGCAGTGAAGGAGACGTTTCCGACCACATAAAGTATATATATTCTTGATCAGCATCACTAGACGAGTCGATCTAGCCATGTCCGTCTGTCCGTCGGTCCGTCTGTCCGTTTTTCCGTCTGTCCGTTTCTATGCAAACTAGTCTCTCAGTTTTAAAGATATCGCGATGAAACTTTCCCGAAAGTCTTCTTTCTATTGCAGGTAGTACATATGTCGGAGCGAGCCGAATCGGACCACTATATCTTAAGGCTCCCATAGGAAAACGATATATAAGAAAATTCATTGTTACTTTGTAGGAAGTAGGCGTTTTAATTCTTGACTCTTTATAAACAAAATTCAAAAATAGAAACGCTGAATCTGGAATCCCTGGAACTGCACGGAGTGAGCATTACTTTATCTGCAAGGGTATATAAGCTTCGGCTGGCCGAAGGTAGCTTCCTTTCTTGTTATTATTAAAGTTGACAAATAACTCTTACGCTTCAATTTTTATTATAAAAATCAACAAATAAGAGTTATTTGTCAACTTTTATAATAAAAATTGAAAATAAAGATTGAATTGAAATAACTCTTGAACTGAGGGGTGCATTGGTTTAAAATTTATATCTATAAAATCTACGCTTGAATACCTTTCTGTTGATATGCCATATATCCCCAGAATATTTTTATAACCAAATATGTGTATGCACTCTTGCTTAACATTTATTTTTCTTATCCCGTCTTTTCTTTTCGTGTGTGTACAAATGTTTTCGTTTTATTCAAAACATCAAATTTAAAAACAACAAATTCCAATTTACAAACAAGTGTACATTTGTGCGCAAATTAAAATTGCATTGATAACATTGTAACCGATAGAAGGTATACAAATTTAGTACTTATACTTAGATCACATTCATTTATCATTATGGACGGCAGTCCATGTAGTGACGAAGCGCACCAGGAGACTGTGCGAAGGCGACTACTATATATACACGAAGAAATGAAAATCTACTGTGATGGTCCGATCATAATGAATGATACACCTATCGAAAGGTATTGCGAAAACTAACAGGATTGCATACCAAGACTTTAAGAAAATCAATTGGCTTGGGAGAGAGAGCGGTGAAAGTGAAAAAGTGAAAATTTCGAAATTTTGAGCTGTTGGGGCCGGTGGGGATAAATTCCCCCTCGTAATGTTTTAGTTGTATTCCTTTTGAAAATACCCGTCGAATGAGGGGTCATTTGTCAAAATCCGACGCTCCGTTATAGCCAAAATAAGATTTTCTTCGTCTTCCCAAAATGAAACTTTAATTCTGTTTGTCAGTTTGTCCAAAACATGTTTTTTAAGTTTTGAAAATTTGATATGACGTTCATCACATCGATATAAAAAACTTTTGTTCTACCACTTTTGAAAAACTCGCTAGTTTAGCGGGAAAACAGCTATAAATAGCTAAAATTCGGAATTCCGTAACTTCTATACTACTAAAGCTACAGACTTGTGCTGCATCTCGTTTGAAAGGTAATTTTAAATGCTATAAACGCCCTCTATATGCAATTTGTGTAAATGTAATAGTTAAAAAGATATGAACAAAAGATTTTTTTTAAACTTCTTTTTAGCTTTTTTTTTTCTCTAAAACGGCTCTAACGATTTTCCTTACAACTTTAAACTGTATAGCCCTTGAGATTCCTTAAATTTTGGTATATAACACATTACTGTAAAAAGTCACGTTTAAAAGTTATTTTTATACGATAATAGCCACTTTTGCCAGCTCGAGCAACTAACGCTCCCTTAGTATTGAATTTTGTGTGAGGGTATACGAACTGTATTTTAGGGTCATGGAATCAGTAAATTTGCACTTAAGAATTCCATATAAAAATCTTTTGTTCTACGACTTTTGGAAAAAGCCGCTACTTTAGCGGAAAAAAAGCTAAAAATAGCTAAATTTCGTTAGTTTGTAAGTTCTAAACTACTAAAGGTACAGACATGTGCTATAACTCGTTTAAAAGGTATTTTGATATACTTCATCGCCTTTTTAACTTAATTCGTTTAATACAATGGCTTACCAATTTAAATTTAAATGTATATATTAGCTCCTATGAGAGCAAATGTAAACAAACAAAAACTTCTGATATCAAATAAAAACACCTCTTAACGAGGTAAAAAACTAGTGACGATCGCGCCTTCAACATACAAATGTTCTGATATCAACATTTGTGACGAAAAATTATTACACTCGTCATTAAATAGACTTTCTAATATTTTCTCAATCGTTATGGTTATGGATTTAATTTAAGCCGAAACTATCGGCTAAGATATCGGTGGCAAAGCGATTGCTGGAACATTATTAAAAAAAGGCGTTTTGTGGTGTTCACTGTACCTCCGCTAAAAATGATCGTAGATCCATTTTTTTTTTACATTTCGCTTAAGAATTAAAAAAACCTTATGAAGCCTTTTTTTTAATTTTTTATTTTTAAGAATTTTTTTATTAGTCCAAAGTCAAAAATGCGTTTTTCACCTAAAAAATTTGACTTTCGGCTTAAAACTAAAATGTTAAATGGTTCTTGCCCAGGATATATTGTTGACACACAATTTGCCTTGCATTTGGAAAGCTTACAGCAGGTGGCGTTATGGTTTCTATGGAGTTGACTTTTTAACTATCTGACAGCGCCATCTATATTTAATTCACGACCGCGGGCGTTGCCAGACTAAAAGGGAGAGTGATGCCAGACCCTAAAAATGCTGACTCGTCGTATACGAACAGAGAGAGATTGGTGCTACCAGACCGAACAAATATGGGAGAGATGGGAGCTACCAGACCTGGAAGAATGAATGGCGCGCAAATTCAAAGTTGGCATTTTTTATATAGCTATATATGGACTTAAAGGATTCTTGTAAATGAAATTATGTTTATATAATGCATGCAAAGATTCCTATTTAAATGAAATAAAAAACCTAATATTTAATAAAATGACTAATTTAACATTATATAAGAAAACTTTTTTTTTTTAACTGAACGATTAATATAACAAATATTGTATGCGAGGATAAAAAAGCTTAAATGTTAATTGAATTGTATCAATTTTGCAGGATTTTTCTTTTGCTTACGATTAGGAGCAACTAGTCGAAAAATAAACTGCAAAATGTTAACTACATGATAGAAGAAAGTCATATAATCTTTCAGATCGTTCCTACGTCAGGCATTGTGTCACTCCAGCAATAAAAAATAGTCCTCCGATTTCAATGAAATTTATTTCGTAATTCTGAAATTCTAAAAAAACAAGAAAGGAAGTTAACTTCGGCCAGCCGAAGTTTATATAGGGGAGTGTAGGGTAATTTGACGAGTAGGGTAATGTGACGAACTCGTCGAATCTCA